GGGCTTTCCTTTTAAATGTAGAGATTAATCAAGAAGAGAATGAGTTTCTGTAAGTTTCTGCAAAGATTCAATCTTCAGATTGTCGCAAAAACGAGGAGTTGAATGAGTGCGGAAACGGATGCGAGCCGACATGTCAAGAGGAGAATCCGGTTAGATTTTTGAATTTATTAAATTTAAAGATTTAGTAATCTAGTAAAAGGATCTAGTAAAATAATCTAGTAAAAGGATCTAATAAAAGAATCTAATAAAGGAATCTAATAAAGGAATCTAGTAAAAGAATCTAGTAAAAGAATCTAATAACGAAATCTGATAAATCTAAAAAGTAATCTAATAAAAGAAATCTAATAAAGTCATCTAATAAAAATAAAACTTTTGAAGGTTTACTAAATCAGAGTCTGAAGAACACCATTTTGGTATTAATTGTTGACCAGAACATTCAGAATTTCTTTTTTCATTTGAATAATGAAGAAAGAATACTTAATATTTTAAAAACAGCCACAATTAAATCATAAACTAATCAATAAAATCAATCAATCAAATCGATCAAATCAATCAATCAGATCAAACAAATCAATCAATCAAATCAATCAAGTCAATCAATCAATCAAGTCAATCAATCAATCAAATCAAACAAATCAAACAAATCAATCAAATCAATCAAATCAAACAAATCAATCAAACCAATCAAGTCAATCAAATCAATCAATCAATCAATCAATCAAATCAAAGCAAACTAAAAGTCGGCTTCGTTATTACTCACCATTCAACTTGAAACATTTATTTTTTAAAGCTTTTAAATTCAATTCATATTTCATATATTACGATTCAGTTTCAGTTTTCTCAATTTCTGAAACGTTATTCACAAAAACTGATAACCCTCATTAAATTGTAGCTAATTTTTAAACCCATTTTAAACTCTTTAAGACAAAAAAAAGGGTTTATCAAGAAAATCATGCCAACCTTTTTTTTTCAGGTTTGTCCAGCAATTTGTGGTCCTCGTGCATGTAAGTGTGAAGTGGGTTATGTGCGCGAGCCGATGGGTCGTTGCATTAAGAGAGCGCAATGCCCGATGGCGCGTTTGCCTCGACCAAGGGGTCAAACGAGAAATGGTGGAAAGAGATCGTGATTTGCAAAGTGATCGTGCTTTTCCAGTCACTTTTTGCGAAGTAATCGTCCTTTAATTGATCATTGATCACCAAATCCTGTGATTTCCCATCTTTTTTGAATTTTTCAAACCAGATTTGTTGAATTTTGAATTTTTCAAACTAAATTTGTTGAATTTTGTTGAATGATTGAGATTTCTTTTGGCAAATCTAAATCAAATCAAATTTTGGCCAATCTAAGCGTAATATTATTTGAATGTTCAGAATTCATTTTGCAATTCAAAGCTTTTTCAAAATTCCTTCAGCTTTCCCCGGATTAGCGAAAAACTGATGAATCGATTAGGTGATCGAATTCACACTAATTATCCTCTAAATTGAAACTCGATTTTTTGAATTAAATCCAAATTTGAATAAGATTTATGTTATTCGTATTGGCATTGATCACCAAATCTTTATATCTTTTTTATTTGTTTCTAATCTTTTGCTGTGATCTTTTACTGTGATTTTCTCATTCATTTCATTTCATTTTATTGCAAGCATTATTATTTATATGCTTTATTCAGTGGGCGAATAAAAGCAAAGCAGAAAATCATAACGACCGCCAATTAGTTCTCAAAACAATCAAGCTATATGAATTTAGTTGAAACTTGATTTTTTTTATGTAGAGTTTGGCTTTTAACTAATGTACATTGATGCAAATTGTACAAATTCCGGGAGGCGAATAAAAGCGAATCAGATAATCATAGCCACATTTAATATATTGCTACAATACTTTCACAAAAATAGAAAGAAAACTAAACATAGTACAGTACAGTACAGTACAGTACAGTACAGTACAGTACAGTACAGTACAGTACAGTACAGTACAGTACAGTACAGTACAGTACAGTACAGTACAGTCCAGTACAGTACAGTACAGTACAGTACAAAAATAGAAGACTACAGCTAGGAAACACAGGTACAAAAAGACTTTATTGTCTTTTAAAGAATGAAAAAATTGTTGTACAAACTAATGCTTTAAATTATTTTTTGGGACATACAAATTAGATATAATAAGCTCCTTAAATCTTTTAACCGTTGGATTGGTTGGTCATTGGTCGATAACGAGCAAATTGGTCGGACTTGGACCAAGATATACAAAGAACAAACTTCTACCAACAAACTTCTTCTTCAAACCAACGTTAAAAGACTTTTGTCCATGACTGTAGCTTTGCTGATTTAAAATGTAGAATTAAAGCAAAGAGAAAACACTTGGGACTAAGGGAATCAAGCGAATAGTTGGGTCAGGATTCGAAGCTGGTTCCTTTTCTCTACAGATTTTGTTCCTTTTCTCTACAGATTTCTCTACAGAAACACGGTGGAATGGGTCATTTTTTTAGCTGAATCTATAAGTTCTATAAGTCCGTCTATAAGTTCTATAATTTCATCTATAAGTCCATCTATAAGTCCATCTATAGGTTCATCTATAGTTCATCTATAGTTCATCTATATCCTCTATAAGTTCCTCTATAAGTCCATCTATAAGTCCATCTATAAGTCCATCTATAAGTCCATCTATAAGTCCATCTATAAGTTCATCTATAAGTTCATCAGATTAATAGTTATCACGTTTAATAGATCAATAGCTATCAAGGTTTAATAGATCAATAGTTATCAACATATCAATAGTTATCAAAAGTTATCAGGCTTTAAAAATCCAAAAAAAACACAAATCTAAGGACAAACAGTTCGGTATCAATTTCTCGTTCAAAAAAGTGAACATTTCTCAAAAGGATACGCAAAAAAAGTTGGAAAAAAAAACAGAAATGAAGACGGAAAAATTGATAACCTTGCTTTTTGATTTGATTGAGAAATTTGGGGAAATTTCGTTCAAATCTCTCACCATTTTTTTCATCATTTCAAGCTAGACAACCAAATTTTTTGACAAATTTGATTCAATCGAGATTCAATCTAGAATTTTATCGCATTACTATTTTATTACAATGCAACCATTCTACTTGTTATTTGGATTGAATTTTCTTAATTTTGTGGATGCTGAGGTTGGTTGTATTGTTGTTGTTGTTGTTGTTGTTGTTGTTGTTGTTGTTGTTGTTGTTGTTGTTGTTGTTATTGTTGTTGTTGTTGTTGGTGTTGTTGTTGGTGTTGTTGTTGGTGTTGTTGTTGGTGTTGTTGTTGTTGTTGACGGAAAAAGGTCTTGTTTAAGTTTAAGTTTAAGTTTAAAAAGCAAAAAGCACGGCAAAAAGCACAGCATTTCAATAAATTTACGGATGAGTGACATCTTTTATGTTTAATATTTGCTGTTTAACATCTTTTAGACCTACAATTTGGTTAGAAAATAATATTTTACGAAAAAAAGTGTTTAAGAGTAAAATTTGAGAGTTTTTATATTTATAAAGCAATCTCTTTAGTGATTGAAACTCGATAGTGATCGATTTTTCTTTTCTGGAATCCTTTCTATAGGTCAATAACGAGGTCCGACTGTAGATACATACTGAGTTTAATTTGTAGCATGTATTTCTAATATCATTTCTTTATCTAATATCTAATAATAACCACTGGAGATTTCTAATATTCAAATCTAATAATAATAATCTAAAAATCTGCTCTTGTGATAATGGACAAAGCCGTTGGTGAATTAAATCTTACAAAAGAACCTCTTAAACTTACTCTCGAGTTCAAGAATGATTTAGGTACCAGTCGATTGGAAAACAAATTAGCTACCGTATTTTCTCTAATAGTAGTGCACTCTGAGCGTTGCCTAAATTGCTCGAAATCTCGAGAACCGCTGATCAGAACCTATCGATGTGGGATCGGAAAATGTAGCTGACGATGAGATCTTGTTGGGGATTAGAGTGTTGAGCTTCTGTGAAAACTTTGGCAGCCGTAAAATAGTCACCAACTCGGCTCGGCCGGGTGCACTACTATTAGAGAAAATACGGTATAATGATTCTTGATATTTTATATCAAAGTCACTTACTTGTGCACTTTGATCTACCCGGAGGCCAATAATTCTGGGCCCAGGTCCACCAACTGCTAAATTTGGCAATTGGTAAATGCCAAACTGCTAAATCCGTTTAGCAAAATTGCTAGAGGGTAAATCAGTGCTAGAGGTAAATGCTAGATGGCAATTGGTAAATACCGTAGTGAGCGTAGTGTAATAGTAGTGAGCGTTGCCTAAATTGCTCGAAATCTCGAGAACCGCTGATCAGAACCTATCGATGTGGGATCGGAAAATGTAGCTGACGATGAGATCTTGTGGGGGATTAAAGTGTTGAGCTTCTGTGAAAACTTAGAAACCGTCATCAACTCGGAAATAGTCATCAACTCGGCCCGCCGGGGTGCACTACTATTAGAGAAAATACGGTATCCAAATCTCTTTTGAATCTTTGTCCAAACTTGCTTTTGGGGTTTTAGAATGGAAATATTCGAGGGGAAAGTTAGTGAATTTTGACAGCTTTTCTCGAATTTCTCGAATCATGGATTCAAGATTCAAGAAAAGTTCTTGGATTCAAGAAAAGCTGTCAAAATTCCCTGAATTTAAGCCCATCATAAATCATTCTTGGACTCGAGAGTAAGCTAAAGAGGTTCCCTTGTTAGCATCATCGAGTAAGCGCAAATTTGAAACTAAAGAAACTTTAGGTCATCAGAAAACTGATCAAATTTTCTCTACTCATTAAGAATTAGATTCAAGAGGGATAGTTCAAAAACTTGAAACTGAAACTTTTGATTAAGATCAATAAATGCATAATTGATTCTAGATTAAATTCTGACTTTAAATTTTGACATTTATCGAGTATTAGATCAAGAAAAGTCAATTTTAGTATTATATTTCAAATTTTAAATCTTTAGAAACATTTCCAAACTTCAAATAAGCCTACAGAAAGGCGAAAACGCCAAATGTTGTACCAAATTGTTTCTTATGTGCCAGGTAATCAAAATATTAAACTTTTAAACTTAAATCTTTAAAATACAGCTTTAAAATTAGCTTTAGTTTCTTACGAATTACCCCTACAATTTGAGGAATCCGATTTATCGCTGAGTATTCAACAATTACAATCAGCAATGCTTGCAGCAATCAAAACGAATCAACAGGTCAGTTTTCAAGAGTTTTCAGAGTTTAAAAGAGTGTGGCTCGTAAAGGAAAAGGAAAACGAAAACGATTTTAATGTTACTATAGGAAAAGAAATTAGTTTAGTCTAAATAGTGGTTTAGCATTTTGAAAGTATCAATCAACAGGAGATTGTCGAGCTTCAAAAAGAACACTACAGGGTAGGGTGATTTCAATACCTCTTTTTCAATCAATCAAATCAATCAACAATCAATCAAATCAATCAATCAAATCAATACCTCTTTTTCAATAGAGAACCATTTTTCTTACTAGAAAATCTTGTGAACTTATCGTAGCTTTTGACTCGGGAAATACCCTATCTGATGCAGTTTTTCACGCTGATTCTGAATCTGCAATCAGTTTTTGCCAAACGCTACTCTATCACGAGATATCTGCCATACAACTTTTTCGGGTCTCTTCTTCTCTTTCGGGCCTTTTTGCGATCCTGAGTAAGAGTTATTTCACCTGAGTTATTTCTACATAACTTTTAAAAGCAATTTTTTTTAAAATACAAGCCACAGAAATAAAGCAACAGAAGGAAATCGAAATTTTTGAGTTTTAAAATGATTGTTTTGGTCATGGGGACTTTAATTCTGTTTAATGTTGAAACGGTAATCACCAGAAAGTACCGTATTTTCTCTAATAGTAGTGCACCCGGCCGAGCCGAGTTGATAACTATTTTACGGTTTTCAAGCTTTTGCAGAAGCTCAACACTCTAATCTCTCACTAGATCTCATCGTCAGCTACTATTTCCGACCCCACATCGATAGGTTCTGATAAGCGGTTCTCGAGATTTCGAGGAATTTACGGGACGCTCTTGGTGCACTACTATTAGAGAGCATACGGTAGCTAAGTTTGGACAGAGATTCAAAAGAGACTCGGATACCATACTTTCTCGAATAGTAGTACACTCCAGCGACCCGAGTTGGTGACTATTTTACGGTTTCCAAGCTTTTGCAGAAGCTCAACACTCAAATCCCTCACTAGACCTCATCGTCAGCTACTTTTTCCGACCCCACATCGATAGGTTCTGATAAGCGGTTCTCGAGATATCGAACAATTTAGGCAACGCTCTTGGTGCACTACTATTAGAGAAAATACGGTATCTTAGTTACATCTTTCGTTCATTAATTGTAAAAGTTATACAAAATTTAGTCCTACCTTTAGTTTATCACTTCAAAAGGTAATTTCTGAAAAATTCACAAGGATTCAAAACGAGTCAACAAAACAAAACAAAAGAAAACAATAAATTTTTCAGCTGCTTCAAAGCCAGCAAATGTTTGGCTATCAAAGACCACAATATGCACAATATTCAACATATCCTTCTTATCAAGGTACTTTATTTGAATCTAAAAGTTCAAGAAAATTCAGAAATACAGCTGTTTTTTATTCATAAATTGATATAAACAATTTGCACGTACATTTGCAAATTAATCGAAAGCTCACTTTCAGTTCAGCCGATGAGCTTGAACCCATTCGCCGTGAGTTCGAGGCCTGAACCCATTCAGCCCATTGCACCACCAGCTGAAGCAAATTTGAATATGAAGTAGAAATTAAAAGACCAATTAAAACATTTTAAACAAACAAATTTCAGTCTTAACAAACAAATTTCAGTCTTAACTTGAAATACTCAAATGGTTTTCGATCAAATCCGGACTGCCGATATCCGGTGAATGGATATGTTTCAACGGGAGGTGTGGATTGAGAGCTTATCTTTTTTTTTGAAGTCAAGAACTCCAAGAACCCAATTTCGCTACTTTTAACAAACAAAACAACAAACAAAACAACAAATAAAACAAAAAATTTAAGCTATTTCCTGGTAAACTTTTTCAAGTTCTAGATTTAGACTAAAGCAAAGTATTAGGTTGGAAGGAAAGAAAGAAAGATTCTGAAAAGTTAAAGCATTAGATTGCCTTAATCAAAATTTGCCTTTATCACAAATTTTCCCTATTTGAAGTACTTGATTTTAGGTTTTAAATGAGACCCATTGCCTATCCATTAACCCATTAAAAGCTTGTCCAAAGGTTGGTCACTCAAAAAGTAGTCAAGTAACTTTAGCTGAAGAAATCTGTTATTTTTCACCTGAAGCCCTGAAAAAAACTCTATTAGATGGGGTAGAGCTCATGTAAAAATTTGATCTTACCATGACAAAATTCTCTAGTTAAAGAATGGACCTCATCTGACACACTGATCGATACAGTTACCCAATTTGAGCACAGCAAACGCACGGGATCTGGCGTCCAATCAGTGCACCAGATGCTGTGCGTTTCTATGTAATAAAATGATCGATCTAGTGCGCCACCTAAGCCTGAGCCTAAGCCCAAGCCTAAACCTAAGCCTAAGCCTCAGCCTCAGCCTGAGCCTAAGCCTAAGTCCAAGCCTAAGCCTCAGCCTAAGCCTAAGCCTAAGCCTAAGCCTAAGCCTAAGCCTGAGCCTGAGCCTAAGCCTAAGCCTGAGCCTAAGCCTAAGCCATAAGAATCCAAATTCTGACCGAATTCGAGAACTTTCTTGAAAACATTTAGCTAAAAATCATGTCTATAAGTGAAAATTCTAAGCTAAATGCTTTTAAAGATCGTTCGATTTTCTCAAGAACAACTTTTTTTGTTAAAAGCTTTGTTTTGTTTTGAAATATAGTCAAGTTTATCAAAAAATCTGGAAAGAATTCATGGTTTTGTTTAAGAAATCATCGTACAAACTTTTTCCGAGAACTTTCTTTCCAACCTAATCAATAAATCGTAGCTGGAGCTAGATAGATTAAAGAGCAGAACGCTAGGCAAGCCAAAACGCTAGGCAAGCTAATTTTCAAGCAAAATTACAGCACTGGAAAGTTTAAAGTTTGAAATTCTCAAAGAATGTAAAATAGAGTTTCAAATCTAGTCGAAAGTAATAGTTTCTTGGAAAGCTAATTGTGCGGCGAGTTATTTCAAACTATTGTAACCATTCGTACATTCTGTAACCATCCTTCGTAACATTCTTTAAAATAACTGTAACATTCAAGTTCTTTTCTTCGTTTCTTTAATAGTTTAAAGACAGAAAGACTTGGGATTATTGATTTCCCATTTTGAATTCACAATTTTATCGATTTCAGTTTACTCACGGCCGGCTGGTTGTCAATTTTCGCCTCCGATTCTCCCTCAACCGATTCCCAAGCCAACGCCTGAGCCAATTCAAATACCAGTGCCGATCATGGTACCACTACCGGTAGCTTTGATTGGATATAATATAAAAAATTTATCTCAATCAGATTAGTAGGTAAAGTCTAAGTTAAACAATTACTTAAAAAGGTTTCAGAAATCATGAAATTGGCTATATTGCCATTAATAAAATTAGCAAAATTAGCAAAACACCAAATCAATAAGTAAAATTATCCGAGTGATGTCTGAAGAATTCTGTTGGGCATTGATTGACATTGATTCCGATAAGATGGGAAATAAGATTAAGTTTAAGAAGCTCATAAACGGCAATAAGAAGGCAATAAGAAGTTCATAAACGTCTAGATTGTTCCATTCCACCCTATCCGAGTGGAATGGCTTGCTTGCTTGCTGCAAACGCATTGCCTGAAACGAATTACATTAAAAATCCCCAAAATCAAAAAATTACAGCAAAACATTTCTTCTAGTCTTTCAATCATTTGAAACTCGCTTTTTAGAAACCCGAGCCGATTCGCGAGCCGATTCCCGAGCCTGAAGTACTGCCAATTCCGGTGAGTTTTCAGCTAGGAGATTAGAATTAAAGATATTTAGGAACCTCCACTACTCCCGATTCCTAAACCTGAACCAGAACCCGAGCCAGAGCCGGAACCTGAGCCTAAACCAGAACCTTTACCAATTGTTGTGATGCCAAAACCCGAACCGGAGCCAGAGCCAGAGCCTGAGCCTGAGCCAGAGCCAGAGCCTGAGCCAAAAGTAAGAGTTCGGGATACGATAATGAGATTTACTGTAGCGAATGTTCTTATTTTGCTATTGCTAGGTAATCTTGCTTGTTATAGCCAGAGCCTGAACCCAAACCCGAGCCAGTCGTCTTACCAGAACCAGAGCCAGAACCAGAGCCCGTACCTGTACCAGTTCCCGTCATTCCACCCCCAGTCCCCCCTCAGCCAATCCTCGTCCCTCCACCCATCCAACACCGAAACGCGTACGCCCGGCCACCGCCCGATATGGTTAGTTGGATTTTGAAAATAAAAACTCTAAGCAATATTACAATAAATGTTATAGATGCTTAAAAAAGCTAGTATCATAAAATTGTCGCAAAAAAATGATATAAAGAAAAACTTGAAATCTTTAACTAAGCTGATTGATTGCAGAATTGCTAGAAAGCTAGAATTGTACTATATTTGAAGTACTATATTTGAAGTACTATATTTGAAGTGCTATATTCTAAGTACTATATTTGAAGTACGATGCTTTAAGTACTATATTTGAAGTATTATATTTGAAGTACTATATTTTAACCCATTCGAAACTTCTGCAGCGAATAATCGCTGCAGCAAAAACTCAGGAACGGACCGCTGCAGCGATTATTCGCTGCAGCGCTAATTGAGCTATTTTCATTCAATTAATTGGTTTTTTTGCTGTTTTTCAGCATTGCATGTATATTCCAATTGTAGTAGATCTACAAATTACGTGGGCAAAAAAGATGTTTCATATTTACCCGGAATCAATGCAGTCTCTGGTTTTGCATTGAAATGTTCCATAATAGCTCTAATCTTATCAAGCCGATCTCCCGCAGGATCCAGTTCATTATCACAAAAACACAGGTTTCGAAGAATAGATTCAAATTTTGCTCTTTACATAATGTGGGACATGTGGGAAAATCCTCCTAATCCAGGCCTGCTACTCCAGTAGTCACGAATCCTCGGTAATTTGACGATTCCCATCTGAAGATACAGAGCCAGGAAGAGCTTGCATCGAAATCCTGCCAGTTTTTTTTCCTTTTTTCATGTTTATTAGATTCGCCTACTAACATGTTGATTAATTTGTCGTCGATAAAATAAGAATAATATAGGGTCTTGAAAAGTACTGAAGTCAAATCCAAATCGTTCTTCATCAAAAATAAATGGTGTAGGAGACTCTCTTGCATCTTTCCAACCATAAATAAACTGCTTCGGAGTCAAAAATGTCAAAAAAGGGCTTGGTCCGGAGACGAAAAAAAAGAAAAAACGCTGCGGTTTCGAATGGGTTAAGTACTATATTTGAAGTATTATATATCCTAAAAATCTTTACATAAAAAAACTGATAATTTAATGTGATTTTTCAAGAAAAATAATTACCGTAAATACTGTAACTTTTTCGTGTTTTTTAGTATTTCAGTTTACCACCCGTACTTTCGTACTTTCAAAAAATGTGTCTTTGGAATCAAAAAATAGCCCTGAATGTCAGCTATTTTTTGATACCTAAGCGCGCATTGTAGCATAAACCAGTGTCGAGAAAAACGCGTTCAAAGCTACACTACCCAACACTCCGCACCGTCATTATGGGGACGGGGTACTATTACAGTATTTACGGTAGTTTTTCTAATGAAACAAAAAATGAAATTGGCATTTCTAATTGCTAATTTCTAATTTTTCTTTCTAGTTCAATTGGTGCATTTGTTGGTTTTAAATGAAAGTTTGAAAAGAAAGGAAAAGACTTTCTGGACAGCCTAATAAAACCTAATAAAACCGTATTCAAATCAACGCGTCCAATCCTCACTATCACTGCCACCAATCCTCACCATCACTTCAGCTTTTTCTAGCTACGAGTTTCAAAGTTTTCAACTTCAACTAGACTTTCAAGGTTTTCAACTTCTTATCTTTCAATTAAACCGACTTTGACTCTAAATTCGTTAACTATCATTCTTAAAAGAGCCCTATTTCTTTAAATGAATCTCTTTCCCACAATCATCCACTGTATCCTTTTCGTAATCGATCACCGTCTCATTTAATCCAATTCATAGTGTTATTCAGATCCCACCCACCTATAATCCAGTTGAACCCGCCTCACCGCCTGGACTGCCGCCAGGAGCCGGACGTGAGTTCTTACTCAAATGAATAGATTTTCTCGTGTTGTAACATTTTTTGTCAAGCTAAAAGCCAATCTGAATATTACTCATGCAAATTTACTTGAGTAATTACTTTACTCGCGAGGAACACACTCTAATTTTAGGTCCAATAATGCCACTAGGCCCAATAATGCCATCAGGCCAAGAAAGTAAAGAAAATTCAGAGAAATAATAAAAAATAAGCCAGATTTCCAGTTCTTCAACAAAATGCCTATCGTTCGAATTCGGGTTTGGAATTTTTTTTGATAAATTCGAAAGATTTTAACGTTTAGGGCTCGTGAATCCACCAGGGCCGGATGGTAAGTTTCATTTGTGAAATTTAAACAATGAAACTGAAAGTTAGTTTGTTCTAAAAATGAAACTGAAAGTTAGTTTGTTCTAAAAATGAAACTAAAAGTTTTTTTATTCTTCCAACCTTTTTTAAACTTGAAACTTACAATTTTCAGCTTTATATTTCAACATTTGCCTTTAGAAAAGTGTTTTAAATGAGCTTTTTCTCCAACAAAGCTACAAAGATACAATTGTAGCAATACAAATATGATATTTCATTGTCCAGTACTGTAGCAAGAAGCAATGATTTACTCTAAGCAATTTTATAATTTAATCAGCATAACCATCTATTGGATTGGTGAATTGAAAACTGCCGGACTTTGAACTAAAATTTATTCAACATAAAACCATCAATTCATTCCAAATAATTTCCATTATTATTGACGACTTCTGCCCATTTTACAGGCAATTTGCGGATTCCTCTTTCGTAGTTTTGGTTTGTGTGTGAGACAAGTGTGAGACTCAAAAATAGAGGACTGGAGATGTCCCAGTTTGAGCATTTGAGCACTTTCTTTAAAAGAAACCCATTTTGGTGTCAATAGAAAAGTTGTAGAGAATCAAAAATTAGACTTATAGCCAAATTTCCAAAAAGATACACTTAGTGGTTTCGCTTAAAATGCAAGTTTTGTGAAAATTCGTAAATTTCGCATTTCTTGAAAACCAGTTTTTGAATGGTTCTGAAAATTTGGATATAAGCTTGATTTTTGATTCTCTACAACTTTTCTATTGACACCAAAATGGATTTCTTTTCAAGAAAGTGCTCAAACTGTCACATATGGCAATAGACGGCAGTTTTCAATTCACCAACCCAATAGATTTGTAAATAATGAAACTGAAAGTTATTTTGTTCTAAAAATGAAACTAAAAGTTTTTTAGTTCTTCCAACCTTTCTTTAACTTGAAACTTACAATTTTCAGCCTTAAATTTCAACATTTGCCTTTAGAAACGTGTTTTAAATGAGCTTTTTCTCAACGAAGCAAATACAAAGATACAAAGATACAAAGATACAATTGTAGATAAACATAGCTTAGAAAAAAAGCATTAGATTTATAGGTTTTAATCTAGTTAAAGCCATTAAAATGATCATTTATCAGCTTATTTTGAAACTTTTAGTTTTCCAATCGAATTCCTATCGATCAAATAACTATCAACCAAAGTACAATATGCAAAGTGAGTAATACAATTGATTAGAAATACAAAATTTCTAACAAAATATAAATAAACCTTCAGCTACGAATCGATTCTATGAACAAAACAATCAACAAATGATTGGAAGAAGCTGATTTCGAGAATCAAAATCAAGAAAATAAACGATTAAAGCTTGAAAATGAGAATTGAATCACAGTACTCGTTTATTAACACTCTTCACTTGAACAATCGTTCTTTGAATATTGAGCAATCGTTTCCTCACTAGTTCCTCACTAGTTTTTAAAATAAACAAATATAATCGTCAGTATAAAGTTAAGAGAAAAGATCGTTAAAGAGAAAAGATCGTTTCTCTAAGTGATGTGAATTTCTAAGTGATCGTTTGTAAGATCGTTTGTAAGATTGTTTGTGAGATCGTTTGTAAGATCATTTCTAAGATCGTTTCTAAGATCGTTTGTAAGATCGTTTCTAAGTGATCGTTTCTAAGTGATCGTTTCTAAGTGATCGTTTCTAGTGATCGTTTCTAAGATCGTTTCTAAGATCGTTTCTAAGATCGTTTCTAAGATCGTTTCTAAGTGATCGTTTCTAAGATCGTTTCTAAGTGATCGTTTCTAGTGATCGTTTCTAGTGATCATTTGTAAGATCGTTTGTAAGATCGTTTATAAGATCATTTGTAAGATCATTTCTAAGATCGTTTCTTCTCTAAGTGATGCGCCTACCGCTTCCGCCTTAAAAACGTGAACGCGCGCAATCGACGAAAAGAAAGAAAATTGAGAGAAAAGAGGGGATTTCTTTGTCTTTTCTGTTCTTTTTTTGTTCTTTTTTTGTTCATCTCTTCATCCGATTTGGACACTCGACGATCGTCGGGAGAAAAGTGAATGGCAAATGGATGAAAGAAAGAAAAAGAAGGAGGAGGGAAAGGAGGGAAAGAAGGGAAAACTTTTCCAATCCAGAAGCCGGCCAAAACGATCATTCTTTGGCTATTCTTTGGCTATTCTTTGTCTATTCATCGAGCTTTCTGTTGCCATTTGATTCGATTTCCTTTTAGTACTAGTGGTGTGCAGAAAAGTTGAATATCTTTTCTGTTTAGTAATTTAGAATAACTCTTGCTATTTGATGCTTTAGAATCCAATTCATTTGATTTCTCTGATTCTCGTTTTTCTTCTATTTCTTCTGTCTCTATGGAAAGATCGTGTGTAAAGATAATCAGATATATCTTCATCATACTACACGCCATAAATAATCCATTTTTATATAAGTCCATTTTTTAAGAGATTCTTCTCTGTTTCTTTCTTGTTTCCGTTCCGATTTTTGTTCCGTTTCTTTGTTGTACCCAAAATTCAGTGGATTGTTCGCATTTGGGGGAAGTGGTGGGTGTCAAAAAGTCGAAAAGAAAAAGAAGAAAAAGAAGAAAAGAAGAAAAGAAGAAAAAGAAGAAAAAGAAGAAAAAGCTGTCCAACACCCGAACCATTCAAAGAAATGGGTGAAAGAAAAGTTGAAGGGCAAAGAAGAAGTGAGAAGAAATTCGGAACACTGTTTCAAAGGAGATCAAAAAAAGAGAAAGAGAAAGAGAAAGAGAAAAGAAAGAGGAAGAGGAAGAGAAAAGAAAGAGAAAGAGAAAGAAAAGGATCACTTTTGGTGCGAAAAGCAAGCAAGCATTCATTGGAAAAGAAGCACCCATTCAAAAGCACTTCCGCACCATTCAAATCCATTTTTTTTGTATTGTGAATCGATGATTTTATCGAATTTTATCGAATTTTATCGAAAATCAGAAAGAAAGCTTGATTATTTGTGTATTAAAATAGTTTTTTAATTGTATTTTTCAAAATTTCATGCACTTTTTTGTTTTTCAAAACATTTCCTCAATTTATTTAGATGCAGATTGAATTGTTTCTCTTTTTCACCTCAGCAACTCTTGCGTTTAGCTACGAGGAGAATTATGGAGCTCAGGTTGGAGAAGAAAGATCATTCAAATTCATTAACTATCATTAGCTATCATTAACTCATTAACTAATCATTAGAAAATCCAAAAACCCACTAGAGAACGAAATTTTACAATTTTACAGGAGCATCACTCAGTCCGACCGATGGCCTCATCAGGAAATATTCCTGTGGTTTCGGTGAGTTTAAAAAGCTAAAAATTGTTGTTGTTGAGTTGTTGAGTTGTTGAGTTTCAAGGATTTTCGCCATTCAATTTCACCTCTTCAACTCTTAATTAGACATGGGAAAATTCCAACCGAAACCCTAATTCCACCTTCGTTTTCCCAGCCGTCTCTTGGCCGATTGCTCTAAAATTTTGTCTACAAACAGAGAATGCTAATTTCTATTTGTAAACAAAATTTCAGAACAATCGACCAAGAGACGGCTGAAAAAACGAAGGTGGAATTAGGTTTCGGTTGGAATTTTCTCATGTTTACTCTTAATCATAATTGTAAACACAAAGATTGTGCTTTAGCTTCAAAATGTTTCCCAAAACCTTTCCAAAACCTTTCCAAAACCTTCCCCTTCCAAACGGCTAGTAATTACGAGATTAGAAAACTAGTGTTTCAAAATACACCTAGAATTATAGCAATTTTATTAATTTATTGAGTCTAATATAGTGACTCAACTCAACTATATCGTCTAATAGCTCCATAATTCTCCTCGTAGCTAAAACGTGACTGCAAGTGTTATTCCAAATGAAATATTCAATCCGTTCCAAGCCGTATTGTGCCAAGATCTCATCGGGAAACTCTTTCTAAATCGTTATACATTAGAGGCTTTAAAGCTTTTCACTTACTCGATCACAATAGTTGATCTCATAGATGGATTTCGCGGTCGTTGTGATGACTGGAGCCTCGGTTGGATAGGGACGGGGTGGGAGCTGAAAAGAGAAACTTTTCGGCGAAAATCTGAAGAGCCAAAACTCTTTTTTAGTAGCTTCCCAATCTGTTCAACGTTTAGGAAGCTCATTATGGTACACTCTGCACTAAAGAACACACTCTAAACATTTTTCGTAGTGGACTACGCAAGTGAACGTTTCACTTAACTTGAATTTTGAGTCAAGACGCATACCTTTTCTTTAGCTTTCTTTAGCTTTCTTTAGCTTTCTTAAGCTTTCTTTAGCTTTCTTTAGCTTTCTTTAGCTTTCTTTAGCTTTCTTTAGCTTTCTTTAGCTTTCTTTAGCTTTCTGGTGCTTAATTTGAAAGTCGCCTTGTTTGAAAATCTATCATCTATTAGGTGACGATGAGATCTAGCGGGGGATTTGAGTCTTGAGCTTCTGTGAAAACTTTGGAAGCCACAAAATAGTCACTAACTCGGCTCACCGGGGTGAACTACTATTAGAGAGAATCCGGTATTGCAACTAGGTTTGCAAGAAAAGCTTTGCCCGGATTTCAACTAGAATTTCTTAAAAACAAATCCACCAATTCGAGAACACTTTTTTCTATCATTTACAAGTGAATTCCAAGAAATAACTCGTAAGAAATGATTGCGGCTAGGATAAGAAATGCGGCTACGGCTACGGCTACGGCTACGGCTACGGCTACGGCTACGGCTACGGCTACGGCTACGGCTACGGCTGGCTACGGCTACGGCTACGGCTACGGCTACGGCTACGGCTACGGCTACGGCTACTTGTCAGAACTTTTAGCAAACACTTACCTTTCTCAAATAATCTTTTTCCTAGACCAAGTAACTCCGAATTTACTTTCAAAAAAGAATTCTTTTATTTGAGGAATCGAGCACAGAGTTAGGCTCAATAGCTAGAGTTTCCATAATTCTGCCGCACTCTTTACCGTCGTCAAAATTTCTTGAAATAATCAAATGATCAAATGATTAATAATCAAATGATTAATAATCAAATGTTTAATAATTAAATGAGTAATAATCAAATGTTTAAATAATCAAATATTTATTAATCAAATGTTTTCCAGGCATATTCCCCACAAAACCATCAATCGTCCTATGCTGAAGAACACCTATTCGGTCATTCACCCAGCACCTGAGAGCAATCCCTACATAATTCCCAGGGTTTGTTGATTTAGGGCTTTAAAAATAATCAAGAAAAAATGGGTTTCTCGATTAATTGGCCAAATTTTATCGTAAAGGAGTGATTTTTGGTGAGGCAAAACAAAAAAAATGCTAACTTTCTTTCTCTGACTCAAAAAAACGGAAAGAAATATTAGAAACTAGAAAAATTTGAGTTATTTTCTTTTTTTTCAAAATCGTTTACCCATTGCTGTAAAGCTGTAAAGGCTATTCTCAAATTGAAAACAATGTTTTTATATCAATTATTTTAAATAATAACACCTTTAAAGTACTCTTGCTATCAAAATATTGATAAAAAGGAAGGTTGAACAAAAATAGTCGGGGTAGGCTAGTTTCCGCAACTTTTTTTGCGGGTCGTTTGCGCAACTTGCCATAACTTTCTTTCTAAGTGGGCTAATCTTTATGATTTTGGTCTCATTTTGTAGATCTCAATAATTGCAACAAAATGAGACCAAAATCATAACGATTGGTCGATTTAGAAGAAAGTTATGGCGAGTTGCGCAAACGACCCTGTTGCGCAAAGCTGCGGAAACTAGCCTACCCCAAATACTCTGTTATTTCTGATCAAACCCCGGGGAATATTTTGGTATGAAGCTGTAAAGGATTGTGTTTATGAATAGCTTTATGAAGCCTTGAAATTCCACTAATTGAAAGGAATTTGGATTAGTTTTGTTGTCAAACAAAATAAATTAAACTGATGGAATCTTTTCTTCAGGTAGATGAGGTGGATTCCTTGGACTTGTTCCCGTCACAGCCTGAACAACCAGAGGAACCCCATTTGCCGGATGTTCTCCCGCAATTCAAAGTCGTACAGCCGCCGGACTGGCTCTCGCAAACGCCGAAACCGGTAAAGAAAAATGGCTTTTAAATTGAAGCTTTAAATTGCTCGTAGAAAGTTCGTAGAAAAAGTTTGCACAGTTTTCACAGCATGATTTCTTAAACAAAAACCATGAATTCTTTCCAGATTTTTTTTAATAAACTTGACTATATTTCAAAAAGTTTTTAACAGCAAATCACAGTGGGCTTCAGGCACTTTCCACTAGATTTAAAAACTATTTTACATTTTTTTGAGAGTTTCAAACTATAAACTTTCCAGTGCTGTAATTTTGCTTAAAATTAGCTTGCCTAGCGTTTTGCTCTTTAATCTATCTAGCTCCAGCTAGCTTTCTTTCCAACCTAATAGATGATAGATTTTCAAACAAGGCGACTTTCAAATTAAGCACCAGAAAGCTAAAGAAAGCTAAAGAAAGCTAAAGAAAGCTAAAGAAAGCTAAAGAAAGCTAAAGAAAGCTAAAGAAAGCTAAAGAAAGCTAAAGAAAAGGTATGCGTCTTGACTCAAAATTCAAGTTAAGTGAAACGTTCACTTGCGTAGTCCACTACGAAAAATGTTTAGAGTGTGTTCTTTAGTGCAGAGTGTACCATAATGAGCTTCCTAAACGTTGAACAGATTGGGAAGCTACTAAAAAAGAGTTTTGGCTCTTCAGATTTTCGCCGAAAAGTTTCTCTTTTCAGCTCCCACCCCGTCCTTATCCAACCGAGGCTCCAGTCATCACAACGACCGCGAAATCCATCTATGAGATCAACTATTGTGATCGAGTAAGTGAAAAGCTTTAAAGCCTCTAATGTATAACGATTTAGAAGGAGTTTCCCGATGAGATCTTGGCACAATACGGCTTGGAACGGATTGAATATTTCATTTGGAATAACACTTGCAGTCACGTTTTCTTTCAGTGCGCTATTGGGCAGACGTTTATGTTAAAGGTGGGTTATGCTTTAGGAAATTAACAAGAAGCAATGATTTAATCTAAGCTATTTGATGATTTAATCAGCATAAGCATCTAGTTCTCATGTCTAGCTGCAAATTATCAACTATAACACAACTACAGCAACTATAACAACCTATTCCCTACAGCAACTATAGCAAGCTATTGCTGGGGTAATGAACTTTCATCTTTCGATCAACCTAAGAGATCCAAAGAGCAAGAGATCCAAAGAGCCATTGAAACATACTTTTACAGAACATTTATAACGTTCTTTTCTTTGCGAAAAGACTTTCTGCACAGTCTAATAGTAGATTTAATGCCGTCTAAGTTGAAAGAATTGCAAGATTTGTCTTTAGACTTGCTTAGAAAGCATAAAAGTTTGAGTTAAGCTATCTTTCCATTACAAATATTTCCATAAATCTTATTGTCATCATATTTGAAGTACTGCTTTGTCTTAACGGCTTTGTCTTAACGGCTTTGTTTCAACGGTTTTGTTTTAATGGCTTTGTTTTAATGGCTTTGTTTTTACGGCTTTGTTTTTTTTATCTTTTTCCTTAAGCCTTCAAATTTTCTTATTTTCTAGTGCCCTTCCGAAGATGAAGCTTTCGATCGAGAGACGGTTAATTGCAATTTCCGGAATAGTGTCAAAGTGTGCCCGGAATATGATCACGTGATGCATTGCTGTAAGTTCATTGATTTCTAGAAAGAAGTCTAGAAAGAAGTCTAGAAGGAAGTCTAGAAGGAAGTCTAGAAAGAAGTCTAGAAAGAAGTCTAGAAAGAAAAGAAAAGAAAAGGAAAAGAAAAGGAAAAGATTATAGAATGTGAAAAAAGAACGATTAAATGGGGAAAAATTTGATCAATTAAAGTTGTTGAAGAAGCAAGTGCATCGTTTCAAGTCTTTACTCCAATTTCAACAACATCAAAACACCTAAATGCAGTTGAAATCTAAGCATAAGCTTAATCATTCTTGTTCTAACAAAGTTTAGACTTTGTTAGAACAAGGTTTACTGAAATAAAACAAAATTTCAACTTTTTAGATGTTAGCAACAAGAATTGAGATTAGGAATTTAGCTCAAGAATTCGGAAATCATACAGTTCGCCTGGGACTTTGCCTGGGACCTTGCCTGGGACTTTGCCTGGGACACTTTAAAACTCAAGCTCAACACTTTGAAACCCTTTAAACCTTTAACTTAAAGTCACCTTTATCCCTTTTTCTTACAGCAATTCGCGATCAATGCACCCAGGACGAGTTCGCATGTTGCTCGCAACCACAGAAATGTTTGCCATTGATAAAGAGATGTGATGGACATTCGGATTGTGCTGATGGTGACGATGAGAATAATTGTCGTGAGTTCGAATTTGAAAGCAAATTGGGAAATTTCTTGCCACCTCTCTAGAGTCTAGAGCTTCAAAAATGACCGTAAATTTGACCTGAGTCATTATTGAATCTTTATTGAATCCTTATAGAATCCTTATCGAATCCTTATTGAATCCTTATTGAATTCTTATTGAATTCTTATTGAATCCTTATTGAATCCTTATAGAATCCTTATTGAACTCTTATTGAATCCTTATTGAATTCTTGTGAATTCCTTACTGAATCCTCATTGAATCCTTATTGAATTCCTTATTGAATCCTTATTGATTCTTATTGATTCTTATTGAATCCTTATAGAATCCTTATTGAATCTTATTGTATCCTTATTGTATCCTCATTGAATCCTTATTGAATCCTTAATGATCCTTATAGAATCCTTATTGATCCTTATTGAATCCTTATTGATTCTTATTGAATTCTTATTGATTCTTGTTGAATTCTTATTGATTCTTATTGAATTCCTTATTGAATCCTTATTGAATCCTTATTGATTCTTATAGAATCCTTGTTGTATCCTTATAGAATCCTTATAGAATCCTTATTGAATCCTTATTGAATTCTTGAATTCACAAGTCAGTAACTATTAATCAATTCATTCTTGGGTCAAAGCGGCAAATTTTGAAACTTTGTCCATTCCAACTTGTTGTAAACCAGGAAAGCCTTCACCAGCTTTTTTTCGACCTGTCCTGTCATTAGTTACATCACATTTAGGTGAAAGCACCAACTTTTGAAACATTGATTTTTCCTAATCAATCAATCCAAATCAATCAATTTTCAGCTTCATGCCAACGTGATGAGTTCGCTTGTGTGAAGAGTGGGCAATGTATTCCGGCTGCGCAAAGGTTTTGAAATATTATAGCTATTTAAAATCTAAATCTATTACTTTACCGAGCAAAAAGGGACGATATTTTTGATGATACATTAACGTGGAAATCTTTATTTTGTTTTATTTTGTTTTTGCTTAATTTGAAACATTATTTCAATTATTAGATTAGATTATTTAACATAAAAATATTCGAAATTTGGAGAAAATGAATAAACTTGATAATGCAATGCTGAATCTGAAGTCGATTTGAAGTGAATTTGAAGTCTATTTGCTAATTCTTTTCCACAATTTCCAGATGTGACGGCAATCCGGACGATTGCGGTGACGGGACGAATCTCGACGAGATCGGATGCAGTCGGAATGAAAGTTCGCACATTTTTCTTTATAGATTATAGTGTTTGGTAATAGCTTTGAAGTAATTCTGATTTTTAAGCTCTAGCAAGATCTTCAAGATCAACTTTTTTGCAGCTTGTGTCGGCAAATTCATGTGTCATTCATCGCTTGATGGGCCATCTTGTATCGATTATTCCCTTCATTGTGACGCGCATCGAGATTGTCAAAATGGAGAGGATGAAGTGAATTGCAGTGGGTTTTTTTGTTTTTCGGAAATCGAGATGATGCTTGAGAGGGGAATTTGTAATTAACTTTGAGAGCTTTTAAGAGGAACTTGATGGGTTAACTTGTTATATAGTTTCTTTTTCACTTTTCAGCTTAGTCACTATTTGCAAGTATTATAAATACTTGCGAAAAATGACTAGGCTCTTTCAATTGCTCTTTCCATTGATGGTTGGTCTGGTTGATCTAGACCTCGGTCTGGTTGGTCTGGGCCTCGGTCTGGTTGGTCTGGTTGGTCTAGACCTCGGTCTGGTTGGTCTGGTTGATCTAGACCTCGGTCTGGTTGGTCTGGTTGATCTAGACCTCGGTCTGGTTGGTCTGGTTGATCTAGACCTCGGTCTGGTTGGTCTGGGCCTCGGTCTGGTCTGGTTGGTCCAGACCTCGGTCTGGTTGGTCTGGTTGATCTAGACCTCGGTCTGGTTGGTCTGGTTGATCTAGACCTCGGTCTGGTTGGTCTGGGCCTCGGTCTGGTTGGTCTGGTTGGTCTAGACCTCGGTCTGGTTGGTCTGGTTGATCTAGACCTCGGTCTGGTTGATCTAGACCTCGGTCTGGTTGGTCTGGTTGATCTAGACCTCGGTCTGGTTGATCTAGACCTCGGTCTGGTTGGTCTGGTTGATCTAGACCTCGGTCTGGTTGGTCTGGTTGATCTAGACCTCGGTCTGGTTGGTCTGGTTGGTCTAGACCTCGGTCTGGTTGGTCTGGTTGATCTAGACCTCGGTCTGGTTGGTCTGGTTGATCTAGACCTCGGTCTGGTAGGTCTGGTTGATCTAGACCTCGGTCTGGTTGATCTAGACCTCGGTCTGGTTGGTCTAGACCTCGGTCTGGTTGGTCTGGTTGATATAGACCTCGGTCTGGTTGGTCTTGAGCTATTAAAAATTTGGGTATACTGTAGCTGAATTTTGTAGAAACATTGAAAAATAAAAAGCCGGTTCTCCTATTAGAATGTTTACAATAGTTGAATTTTGGTCATAATATTAGACCAAAGTAACTTGGATTAAAAAAAGCATATCTCAACTCAGACAACGACAAATTATTGTTTTCAATGAGAGTTGAATGGCAGGTAGAGTCGGTTTGATCAAATGCAGAAAAGTGCTTTGAAAAGCAAGTGGAATGATGAGAAAAGCGTTTTCAAGCAATTTAAAATTTACCAATCTATTACCTCTATTACCAATCGCTTTAAAATTCTAATACCAATCAACGAATCAATTAAACATTGATTGAGCATTGATTGATTATTGATTGAACATTGTTTGATCATTGATTGATCATTGTTTGATCATTGATTGATCATTGTTTGATCATTGATTGACCACTGATTGATGATCATTGATTGGTATTAGAATTTTAAGAAAAACAACAACATTGTTAGCACTGGAACTTCTAAGACTTTCAACTTTCAATTTGAACAAATTTGAATTTGAACAAACAAACAAATTCCAGAAGTGTCTGAAGCGAAATACATCCTTTGCGAGAACCAGAAGCAGCAAGTGCTCCGATCACAATGGTGTGATGGGACAGGCGATTGCGCTGATGGAAGTGATGAGAAATATTGTTTCTAGCTTTGTTTCCAACTTTATTTTTATATTTGCTTTACTTTTTAAGATTAATTTAATTTATTTGAAAGATTTCTATGTACATTTCGTTGTTTTTTTTGTTTTTTTTTTTGGTTGGTGAACCAAATGAGAAAAATTCAAAGAATTCTTCTTCAAGAAGAAAGTATCATTCATCAGTGAATTTTCTAGAGAAATTGAATATTATTTTAAATTTCTATAATTTTAAATTAATGCTTTCATCAAAGACGGGAATTTTTGCTTAAAATAAATATTTGAAAAGAGAAAATTGAGATTTAATATTGGGTTGATGGAAAAGTCTTTTCCGATTTTTTGGGGAGAGTACCTTTTTGGGAGAGTACGTTTGTCCAATTTCAACGTTTTATAGCTCATCTTAAAGCTGAATTCAAGACGGATCGATTGGTAAAAACCGTTTTGAGATATCTCTTTTCTAAAAGTTTTTACAGCTATTTTAATAAAGGGCGGCAGAGCCAAAAAATGGCTGTTTTCACGTTTCGTTAGTTTTCCATGCAGAAACCTAGGCTAAAAACATGTGTTTCGTGATATACTTGAAACAATACTTGAAACATATTGATTTGTTGTAGCTGATGATACTCCGATGGCCGGAGTATCATCGCTCGGAGGGAAACCCACAAAAGTCGAACCCACGACTATCCCGACGTTGCTTAACTTGGCAAATCGGACGGGATAGATCTTCCTGCTCATCTCATGGAGTGTAGTCTTATCGGCTTGCAAGGCGTCTGTCCTGGCGTTGAAAGTGCAGAGTCGGAGGCTTGGGCTTTGTCGTTGCGTTTCGTTCCTTGATCCGTTGTCCATATGGCATCCTGATGCCCCGAGATTGGATCGCCTCTCGGCCTTTGCTTGATCCCACGATGCCGGAAGAGAGCAGGGAGGCCGTGCGGGGTACTGAGGCAGAAGTGTAGTTGTCGTAGCCGATGATACTCCGATGGCCGGGCTGGGACGAGAGGAGGGGAACCCACGAAAGTCGAACACACGACTATCCGAAAGTCGAACCTATCGAACACACGACTATCCAAAAGTCGAGCCCATCGAACACACGACTATCCAAAAGTCGAATCCACGACTACGATACCAATTAGGTTTCAATATAATTTATGATTTCCTGTGGAAGTTCGGAAATTTGTTTGTAAAATTTGAAATTTGTAATCTTGAATGTAAAAGCGGTATTAAATATTTAGCACAAAGCGTTAGAAAACAAATTGCTTATCTTTGAATATCTTTGAATATCTTTTTCTTTTTCTTTTTCTTTTTCTATTTATTAAACTTCAAGACCTAAGAAGTACGGATATGCGTCAGCTCTCGGGACTCAGCGATCCAGTGGAAGTGATCGAGAGAAAAAGACTCTGATGGGCCAGAAGGCCAGAAGGGCCAGAAGGCCAGAGTGGCCAGAAGAATAGACGACAGATGGACGATACGGATGACAGAGTGGCTACCACGAGACCAGAAGAGGCCCATCGGAAGACCAGCAACAAGGTGGAGCACAAGAGTGGCAGCGACGGTCAGAGAAAGGATGGCTAGAGTGCAACCAGCACAAGCAAGTCGAAGACTTCGAACCAGGAACAAACAAGATAGGAAACACTGGATGACAATAGCAAGGGATAGAGAAATGTGGAAGCAGGTTGTGATCTGCGCAAATAGGAACACCTAAGTGCGAAGACAGATCAAAAAACACATTGATTTTCAAGGGGAAAATGATAAATAACAATTAGAAAGATCAAAAAAGAAGAAGAAGAAAGAAGAAAGACTTGAAAAAAATCGATTTCTTGACAACTTTTTCTTTCTTTTCTTTCTCAACACAAATCATTAACAAATGCTCTGAAAGATCTTCAAATTTTATGGAAATACGACTTCAAATATTGATATTATTGATGATTATTGCGGTGAATGGACACTCAAAACAGGCTAGGGTTTGTTTTTTAATCGTAATATCTATTTGTTTGAGTTTAATGGCCAAAGTGCTTTGATCAATTGATCAAAGCTCAATTGATCTCTTTGATAAGTCGACCAATTGAGCACAATCGTTTAGCGTACTTGGGTAATGAAGCGTACTCAAAATTGGGTAATGAAATCAACAAATGTTAATAAATGAAAACAAAGAAACTAACCAAGCCAGGGACATTAAGAGTTTTCTTTCTGATAGACTCAATAAAATGAATACTTCCAATCGATTCACCGACCCCGAAAACCCCCGGATACGAATTTACAGCTGAATATCTTTTTGTATCATCTACAAAGCAAAAGAGAAATCCCTAAATGACTAGCAAGGTGTTCTTTGTACGGACACGTAATCGCTCTCCATCTGGCAAACGGCCCCGGATGGGGTGCTTTTTGGAATTGGCAGGAGAAGAAGCGGTGAGCGGAAGGTGGGAAGGGAAGGTGATGGGTGGAAGGTGAGGGGGAAGGTGCGATGAGCGAATGGTCCTCTTCGTGTCCCTCTTTCAATTGATCGTTGGTCTGGACCTCGTTTTCGCTGCTATCTGCTGCATTATCTAAAAGAACTGAAACTCGTGAAAAAAGTGCTTGCAGGGGAATGAGTGGTGAGCGATTGAGGCTGCTTTGCGCGTCACTATGCTCAAATTTTTGGGATCAATTTTTGCGTTAAAGTTGTTAATATTTTTGGTACAAATTCTACATCCCGTTAGATTAAAAATAGCGTTAAACCCTGTGAGATAGTCAAGGTTGGTCAAAAAAATGATCAAAATTTGATAACAGCTAAAATGGGGAACTCTCAAGTGCGATCCGACTCGAGATTTCTGTTTTCTCAGGGCTCTTTAGTTCATCTTAGCTTTTTTTCTACAAGTTATAGTTCTCACAAGTTTTCTATTAGGTTGTTCAAAACAAAGTCATCAATTAACCTATGGTTTGCTCTAAATGAAAAGTGTTTATTGTTGAATTTCCCATCTTTTTAAGTCAATTTGAGTTCACTTTCAAGCAAATTCGAGAGTGAAAACGGGTTTTTCTAAAATCTTAAACCTCTATAAAGAAATTGGCTGAATCAATTTCTCTGAAAATCTGAAAAATATATCGAACTTTTTGTGCTCTTTCTTTTATTTATTAACATCAAGATTTCCTTAGCTAAAGCGTCTAATGCATCATCGAGCCGTCGCCTTTTTGACTACCCGACTTCAGGCCTCAAAAATTATAGCATTTTAAACTCGTTTTAATGTCATTTTGCAGAAAAATAGTTGGCTTTTCGAATGCATTAAACCGGTGTTTGGTGCTTTTTTTTTTAACGGAAGTACGAAAAAAATGGAAAAGACTTTTGCATCAACCTAATACAAGTTTTCTACAAGTTTCTACTTAACTTTTGTACTAAAATGTTAATTTTTGGTTAATTTTGTTTATTTTGCTTATTTTGAACTTACAAAGCACTTTGCTAGCGGTTTCGAAAGGATAAAAAGCGAGATTTCCAGCAAATTTTTTTCCAGAAAAGCCTCAAAAGCTGTACGGACAGGATGATCTTTCTCTTCAAGGAGAAATATTTCGAAGGTGAACTTTTTGGAGAGTTTGAGCCGAATTTAGGACAAAATTTAGAACAAAATTTAGGCATTCCCCTTGGTGTTTGTTTGTATTCGACGGAAAGTTGTTTCAATTTTCCCAAGGTGAAAGCGTTTTTTTGATGGGCAAAAACACCCTTTCTGGTGCACAATAGCAACTAGCACAATGCAAACTATTCCTTGAGCTGTGCTTGGACTTAAATTTATAAGTGCATCTTATCTGATGATCTTGAATCGATCATCTTATCGATTCTTCTTTATCTCAAAATACCAAACCTTTATCGAAAAGCAAAGCGCTCGATTTTTCTGCAACGAATTGTTACCACAAGAATCGATAAGATGATCGATTCAAGATCGTCAGATAGGATGCGGTTATAACTGCGCTTATGCTGTGCTTGGACTTATAACTTAGTCCAAGCACAGCTCAAAGAATAGTTTGCATTGTCCTAGTTTCCATTGAGAACCAGAAAGGGTGTTTTTGCTATTTTGAGTTGTTTGCGATGATGTGGAGAGGATTTTTTTGAGAATTTTTCAGGGATGGCGAAACGAGATTGTTTCGGCAAAAGTGACGAGTCGGGAGACATGTTATATGCTATTTGTGCACGATGATTGCGATGGTCCGGGAAGGTTGAAGGTGGTTGATCAAGAAGTTTTGATCAAGGAGTTTTTATCAAGGAGTTTTGATCAAGGAGTTTAAAAAAGAGATCAGGTGCCTTGTGGTTTAATGATTAGCATATTAGCGAAAGGTAAGCGAAAGGTTGCGGGTTCAAGTCCCGGCGGTGCACAAGTTATTGATCTGCTTTAGTTTCGTTTATATTTTGTTGGTGAATAAGTCTTGATCGCTTCTTTCGTTTAGAAATAATCAATTCACCAATAGCTTTACGACTTTAATAGAAAGGCTACCTATTTTTCTACAAAAGAGGGTTGAAATCTTTTGAAAAGGTTTTAGTTTCGGATTCTTTCACGAGCGCGAAGTTTGGTAGTTAAAAATGTTTTGATTTATGGTAAAAATAGTTAGATTTATGGCAAAAAGTCAGATTTATGCCTTTTTTAAGTATAAGAATAAACTTTGAGACATTTTGACTAGAGTGTGTGATCCTTGCGAGTACTTGAGTACTTGAGTACTTGAGTACTTGAGTACTTGTGTACTTGTGTACTTGAGTACTTGAGTACTTGTGTACTTGAGTACTTGAGTACTTGTGTACTTGTGTATTTGTGTACTTAAGTACTTGTGTAGTTACTTGCATGGCTAATTTTTACTCGATTAATCAACGTTTTTGGTCGATTGACAACGAGTAATCCTCTTTACAAGTCGCGTAAATATCTTTGCATAGAATATCTTTACATTTGAAGGGAATTTGCCACCAAAATCAGTTAAACCGGTGAATATCTTTCAGAAGTCGATAACGAACAAGGGCTCACTCTAGTTTTACAGATTGATTACTTAACGCAAATGGACATTGGCGCGAATTTCGATGTGGTGAAAGACGCGCGAGAGCATCAATCAATGAGGCCGTGCACGAGAGATGAAAGAGGTATTCAAATTGATTATTGATCGGTCAGATTGATCATTGATCGTTTAAAATGATCATTGATCGTTTAAAATGATCATTGATCGTTCAAATTGATCATTAACCATTCAAATTGATCAAAGCTCGCCAAGTGATCGTTTGATTAGATGTAGAACAAGTTCTAACGTCTAGTTATTTGACAGCTAAGCTTTTGCCTTACAAGATTTAACTCTTAACGATCGATGGGAAGAATCGCATTCACATTGAGCTCATTAGCCCAAATTAGAACTAGATTCTAATGCATTATCTTGAAAAATTGTCTGTTATACGGCTATTAGGCTATACTCATACTGAAAAGGAAAATACTTGAACATTGATCTTAAGAAAGTTGACAGAGTTAGTCCAAATCGAATCTCAAAGCCTAAGCCTAAACCTAAGCCTAAGCCAAATCCAAGCCAATATGACTCGAGCCTGAGCAATTGAATCATAAACATTTCGAGTTAACTTTAGCATTGAATAACTTGAAACTAGACTTTAACTAGACTTTAACTAGACTCTAACTAGACTCTAACTAGACGCTAACTAGACTCTAACTAGACTCTAACTAGACTCTAACTAGACTTTAACTAGACTCTAACTAGACTCTAACTAGACTCTAACTAGACTCTAACTAGACTTTAACTAGACTCTAACTAGACTCTAACTAGACTCTAACTAGACTCTAACTAGACGCTAACTAGACTCTAACTAGACTCTAACTAGACTTTAACTAGACTTTAACTAGACTTTAACTAGACTCTAACTAGACTCTAACTGTTTTAAACTAGAGTTTTTAACGTTTTTAACATCTATGTAACTTTTCTCTGGTTTATTGCTGGCTAAATTCGAATTCTAATAAATGAAGTCAATTTGTCGTCAATTTGACGTCAATTTTTGCACTTTCAAGCAAGAAAGAGAGTTATTTCAGAGTGCGATTGTGACGGTTGGAATGTGAAACGAAATCCAGCGAATAAAGAAACAGATGATGAGAAATAAGAAGAAAAAAAGAACACTCAAATAAATTTCCTTAAAAACCTTTTTGTTTTCTTTTTTTGTTAAACACCCTTTATTTTATTTTCTTGTCAAATCTTTTAGTATTAGCAGCTGAGGAAATGAGCTGGCATTTACAAATTAACAACCATTGTATTCTGTGTACAATTTTTTTCAGCTAACGGAAAATTAATCAAACTTTGGCAAATGTCAAAAAAAACCAAGCTACAAGTGTAGCTTTTTAGTTGATTTTTTAGAAAGTACTGTAAAGTTTTAATTGTTTTTTTCAGTAAAGAAGACTTTATCATACTCCAGGCTTATCAAATCTAGATCTTAAAGTTATCGTACTATCAGAAAGCTATCGTACTACTAGAAAGCTATCGTACTACCAGAAAGCTATCGTACTACTAAAGCTATCGTACTATCAGAAAGCTATCGTACTACTAGAAAGCTATCGTACTACTAGAAAGCTATCGTACTACCAGAAAGCTATCGTACTAACAGAAAGCTATCGTACTACCAGAAACCTATTGTACTACTAGAAAGCCATCGTACTACTAGAAAGCTATCGTACTACCAGAAAGCTATCATACTACCAGAAAGTCATCGTACTACTAGAAAGCCATCGTACTACCAAAAACCTATCGTACTATCAGAAAAACTCCTTGAAATTCTTAAACTATTGGCTGAATATTTTTACTGTTATCCTATATTAGAACTTTGTGAAACTTTATCTTTATGATTAATCGAGTTTCAGAATTACAGATGCTTCCCATTGTGATCATCGTGTCGATCTTCGTGGCTCTCAACATTGCCGATCCAGTGCCCGGGGTAACTTTGAAATCTGATCTCTAGGATGACTGTAGTTGGAAATAAATCGATTTTTCAAAACAATTTCAACTCTAGCGTCAATACGACATGTCTTATTGTTCCGGACACACAATTTTCCTCTTCCCGAAAATCTTTGGGAATGGTGAGTTTCAAAGATTTTGATATAATAAAAAGCGACTATTAGTTAATAAATGAAGGATGACGAATAATTTAAGACAACGAAAAGATAACTTCATCAATAACAAACAATTCTTAAATTTTAGGCGAATCAGTGGGCCTTTGTTTGTCCCCGTTGAGCCCTGGGAATCCTCCGTGTGCAAACTTGCCAAAGGTAAACTCAAAGAAAGGCCTAACGGAACGGAGGAAAGAGTCAATATTGTATTCAAAAGTTGGCAAAAGTAGTTATAGGCATTCCAACGCTATACAGTGGAATAGTAGAAGTACAGGAGGAGTGTAAATAAAACTAATGAGTAGTAGAAGTAGAAGTAGAAGAGTAGTAAGGAGTAGTAGAAATAGAAGTAGAAGAATACTAATGAATAGTAGAAGCAAAACGAGTAGGAGCCTGATCTCAAACTTTAGAAAATTGCGAAACGAGTTCTTTCGGCGAAGCTCACCTCGATCGATGCTTGCTTCAAGCTCTATGATAAGACCGAATGCGACAGTGAGAAGTTTGTCCGGGTGAGTTACAGTAAGATCATTGAATGATCTAGTTGATCATTGAATGATCTAGTTGATCAATTAGTGATCTATTAACCTGCCTTCTTATCCAAATCAGATTCAATCATAATAAAAATTATACGACATTGTCAAACCCCATTTAAAACTTAAATGTTTGTCAAATCCGTTTAAATCTTTCAGGCCAACAAGGACACGATGAACAAATTGAAAGATTTCACGGCGAACGGGCTGGACACTGATTGGCAATCAGTTGGGTTATGCAAGAATATGGAGGACAACGATAAATAGATCAATCACTCCATATTCACCCCGACAATAAATCTCTTTTCGGGCATTATTTGAATGTTTTACGCATTGCTATTAGGCTGCTATTAGACTCCAGAAGGCTTTAGAAAGCTGCTATTAGACTCCAGTAGGCTTAAGAAGGCTGCTATTAGACTCCAGAAGGCTTTTGAAGGCTGCTATTAGACTCCAGAAGGCTGCTATTAGACTCAGATGGCTTCAGAAGGCTGCTATAGACTCCAGAAGGCTTTTGAAGGCTGCTATTAGACTCCAGAAGGCTGCTATTAGACTCAGATGGCTTCAGAAGGCTGCTATAGACTCCAGAAGGCTTTTGAAGGCTGCTATTAGACTCCAGAAGGCTGCTATTAGACTCAGAAGGCTTTAGAAGGCTGCTATTAGACTCAGAAGGCTTTAGAAGGCTGCTATTAGACTCAGAAGGCTTTAGAAGGCTGCTATTAGACTCAGAAGGCTTTAGAAGGCTGCTATTAGACTCAGAAGGCTTTAGAAGGCTGCTATTAGACTCAGAAGGCTATTAGCAGAAGGCTGCTATTAGACTCAGAAGGCTTTAGAAGGCTGCTATTAGACTCCAGAAGGCTTCAGATGGCTGCTATTAGACTCAGAAGGCTGCTATTAGACTCCAGAAGGCTTCAGATGGCTGCTATTAGACTCCAGAACGCTTCTGAAGGCTGCTATAGACTCTAGAAGGCTTCAGAAGGCTGCTATTAGGCTGTCCAGAGTTAATGTAATCCTATCAAACACTTTATTATTGATCTCCCCAGAGTTTTTGATCAAAATTACTGTAGCTATAATTGTTTAGCATCGACAGAAATGTTTAGTTTCAAGTTTAGTAGAATTAAAGTGCAAAAAACATTTCAATCTGGCTTTGATGTGCTGACTGAAGTTTATTCAGCCTTTAGCCTGTAGCCTGTAGTCATTTAATCAAGAATCAAGTTTGAAATGCAAACTGTAAACTTTATTTGATGTAAAATGAAAGATTTGGTGGCGTTTTATTTGTGAAATCTCTCCCACTGAGCACACGCACGAATCGAGCAATGCCGCCGCGCGAGATTCGAGTCGCCGAGATTCTCCGTGCGTCGGGCTTGCACTTTTTTGAAAGTCACCTGAAAGCTTGCAATGTTAGAAGTGATTTTGGAGGTATTTAGCAGAAAATTGAGCAACTAGTACTAGTAACTAGTAACGGATTCGAATTCCCCGTCCTCGAAAACCCCTGATTGGAAGCTTTTAGCCCAGATCAGACTACAAGAACAGTGGTACAATCGATAAGTCAGCCGGTGAGCTACAAGATCAGACTGCCAAAAACAAAACTACAAACTACAAACGTTTGTAAAAACACGTAGAATGACTATTTTTGTAAACTGTTTTTTACCAAAAGATCAAGCCAACTTTGGGCTTTCGTATGACACCAAGATCAAGCCAATCTACCATCTTTGCGCTGAAATTTGGCTTGGAGTCCCGTGAGATGAGACAACAAACTATAATAGCACGTTCTCGAAGCAGAAATGGTGAATTGGTCTAAGGCTTAGGCTTAGGCTAGGCTTAGGCTTAGCAGAAATGGTAAATTGGTCTAATCTTGGTGTCATTCAAAAGCCCAAAGTTAGCTCAATCTTTTGGTAAAACCATATTTTTTAAAATAGCCATTCTACGCGTTTCTACAAGCGTTTGTAGTTTGTAGTTTTGTTTTTGGCAGTCTGATCTTGTAGTTTGTAGACTGATCTTGTAGCTTGTAGTCTGATCTTGTAGTTTGCAGTCTGATCTTGTAGCTTCTAGTCTAATCTTGTAGCTTCTAGTCTGATCTTGTAGTTTGTAGCGTCTAGTCGGCCGTATCTATCCCGAATTCGCTAATCTTCACCTTCATCTCCATTCCCTCACAATTCGGCGACGTGTACAAGACATAGCACCCGGCTGCACTGCTCACATAAACCGATTCAATCTCGTAGGCCCAGCCCTAGAAATTTTAGAAATTCTGAAAATATTAGCTTAGCCGCTAAAAAATCTTCAAACAAAACATTTGCATCAAATTTGAACGTTTGCAGAAAAATGGTAAGCTCAAGAACATTCTTGAGAAGCTCAAGAAGCTGAATTCAACTCTCACCACCGGCAAATCCAAGCACCCATCTCTTGCTCGAAAACAAAGCCCAAGGGTTGGACCTGAAACTCGAAACTGGAATCAACAAACACTTAACAAAGAGATACCTTGAAATTTTGGCTTCTGAAACAAAACGATTCCCTCAGTGGCACAGGGAATATCCAAGAGATCCGTGGATTTATGTGCTCTCTCCTGATTCAATCCATGATCCACAACTTTTGGCTTTTCTATTGTTGCGCTAGGGTTTTTCCTGAATAAATCTCTTACAATTAGGCTGGAGATTATTGTAGAAAAAAGCACTTTTTAGCAAAAAGCAAAAGCAAAAAGCAAAAGCAAAAAGCAAAAAGCAAAAAGCAAAAGCAAAGTTTAATGATAAGCCATAAGCACTTACTGCTTCTTTGTCGTTTCCTCAAAGCTCGTTGGCTTCTTTGTAGGTCTTGGGTTAAACTTTTTATAAAGGTTATTGATAGTAAAGTTACCCATTGATAGGTTTAATTCTTGCCGTCCTTGTCGCTCTCTTGATTCTAGCTGTCGTTTTGACAGGTGTGATTGTATGTTCAATGCCGAACGTTGTCTTTGTTGTCGGTGCAAAAGTGGTTGTATTGATGGTTGAGGTTTTTGCGGTAGGAGTTGAACTGGTGGAACTGGTGGTTATTGTAGCGGTTGTCATTGAAGTTGTAGTGGCTGTCGTTGAAGTTGTAGTGGTTGTCGTTGAAGTTGTAGCGGTTGTCGTTGAAGTTGTAGTGGTTGTCGTTAGTTGTAGTGGTTGTCGTCGAAGTTGTAGCGTTGTCGTAGTGGTCGTGGTTGTCGTTGTCCTTGTGGTTGTACTAATTATACTAGTTGTAGTAGTACTTCTAGTTGTACTTGTGATTGTACTAGTTGTTGAAGTAGTAGTACTTGTAGTTGTTGTTGTCGCTGTCGGTACTACCGTCACGTCCTCCATCTCAGTCGTACACTCACCCGTGGCTTCTGTACTCGTGAATGGTGTGGTCGTAGTGGTGCTGGTTGTTGTTAATGTTGTACTTGTCTCTATCGGTATAGTTGTACTCGAAAAGTTTCCAGTGGTGGGCTGAACAGGTTCATTTTCTGTTGTACAATCCTCGGTTGTAGTGCTAGATCCAGTTGTTGTGGGGTTTGTAGTAGTGGTCGTGGTTGTAATTGTCGTTGAGGTTGTAGTGGTGGTAGTTGTTACATCATTTGGCATAGTTAGTTCAGGTTCTGTAGTGCATTCCTCAGTAGTGGTGCTGGTTTCGTTTGTAGTTGTGGTTGTTGTGGTTGTCGTGGTTGTTGTTGTAGTTGTAGTTCTTGATGTTGTTGGTGTTGATTCACTTGTAGTAGACTCTTCAGTACAGTCCTCCGTAGAGGTTGTTGCAGTTGTCGATGTCGATGTTGTTGGTGTTGATTCACGAGTAGTAGTCTCTTCTGTACAGTCCTCCGTAGAGGTTGTTGTCGATGTCGATGTCGATGTTGTTGGTGTTGATTCACTAGTAGTAGACTCTTCAGTACAGTCCTCCGTAGAGGTTATTGTAGTTGAAGTTGTAGTTGTCGATGTTGTTGACGTTGGTTCAGTAGTCTCTTCTGTACAGTCTGTAGAAGTTGGGCTTGTTGAAGTTGTTGTCATCGTGGTTGTCATAGTTGTTATCGTAGTCGTATTCACTTCATCCGTGCATTCATCTGTCGATGACTCAGTGCTGCCTAAAGTTTCCGGAGTGATGGTTGGGATACTAGCTGTACGCAGACCACTGCTTGTCCCATCCATTTCTATAGTAGACTCACTTGTAGGCTCAGTGGTCAGAGCTGTAGTCGGCCTATTTGTGACAGTCACCTCCTCCGTACATTCATCTGTAGTCGGCGTGCTGTTTCGATGTGTTTCATTTCTTGCTAGAGGTAAAGGACTTCCAGCAGGTGTTAGCATTGTTGGAGGCACTATTGTGGGAGCTTTTGTACTCTCAGGCTCTTCAGTACACTCATTTGTGGTTGATGCAAGAGATGTCAAGGTAGAGCTGGGATTTGTTGACGACTCAGTTGCTGTGTTCAAAGTAGAGCTAGGAGATTTAATTGTAGGTTCTGTAGAGCTAGGTTCAGTTGTTAATTCCTTCGTCGTCTCTTCACTGCAATCGTCGGTTGTGGTTGGAGGAGTTGCAGTAATCAAAGAGCTTGTTCTAGTTGAATGACTTGTAGTAGTGGTTGTAGTAGTTGGCGTCAAAGTTGGTGTTGCTACTGGGGCTTCAGTGCATTCATCCGTGGTGTTTGAAGGAGTTTTAGTAGTTGTTGTAGTGTTTGCAGTAGTTCTCGTTGTAGTTTGCAGTAGTTCTGGTTCAAGTGTAGCTGTTGTAGGAGTTGCTGTAGTGGTTGTAGTTGTAGTAGTCACCGGTTCCCACTTATCAGTGCTCCCACTAGTGCTAAACCCAGTAGGCGATGAAATCTCAGTCGGAGACAAAGTAGTAAGCTCAGGCAGCAAGTTGGGTAATACAATAGATCTAGATTCTATTGTTGCTTTGGGCTCAGGTGAGGTTATTGTATCATTATCACATTCTTCTGTCGGTATTGCAGTAGTTGGTGGCTTTATCGTTGAGTGAGTTGTAGTTGTAGTTGTAGTTGTAGTTGTAGTTGTAGTTGTAGTTGTAGTTGTAGTTGTAGCTATAGTACTGGTTATTGGAGTTCCAGTACTCGGCAGTAAAGTCGTCGTGTCATTCTCACAATCTTCTGTTGACTCTGGTAGCAACGTAGTGATCACTGGCAAAGATGTTGTAGTTGCAAACGTTCCAGTTCCAGGCAGTAGAGTCGCTGTGTCATTCTCACAATCTTCTGTCGACTCTGTGATCACTGATGTTGTAGTTGCAGTCGTTCTAGTTCCAGTAGTCGGCAGTAAAGTCGTCGTGTCATTTTCACATTCTTCCGTTGACTGAGTTAGATTCAAAGTTGGCAATGTTGTTAACGTTTCCTTGATCGGTGGCAACGTTACTGTATCATTCTCACATTCCTCTGTGGGATCAGCTCTAATTGTTGGCACAGTTGAATCATTTTCGCATTCTTCTGTGGGATCAATTGGTACAAGTATTGTTGTCGGTGTTGGAGCCATCGTTGCAGTGTCATTCTCACGCTCTTCAGTCTCAACAGTCGAGATCAATGTAGCTGTGTCATTCTCAAATTCCTCCGTGGGATCCGTTCTAGCTGTTGGCACCAACAAGTCATTCTCACACTCTTCAGTCGTTCCAAAGGCTTCTGTACTTTCTTTAGCCGTTGCTGTCGCAGTGTCATTCTCACATTCTTCTGTAGGATCCGAGATCGGTAGGATTATTTCTGGTTGATTTGTAATACAGGCCTCAGTCGCATTCTCAGTCGATCTTTGTTCTTTAAGCTCAACTCCATTCAGCAATTCAGCCGTCATTCCTTTATCCAAATTCAATGTTTCCATTTGTTTTTGATTCCTGTCTAAACCCTGAACATTTAAGACTCTAAGAAAGAAAGAAATAGAGCCATCATCTGCTTTAATTGCTACTCAAAATCTTTCTCAACTCACCATTTTCCATCATCATTTCCGTCAAATCCGTTTTGTTTTTAACTCTCGGCAATGGTCGTTCCTTTTCATGATCGTTGATTGAATCTTTGAGTTTCACTTGTTTTGCTTTCAATTCAATTGTAGGTACACGTTTAGCATCAACATTTTTGAGGCTTTTTGAGGGAGATTCGGGAAACTCCTGAAGAAAAATGGCTATTATTGATCAAATAAGTTGACTAAGCCTAAGCCAAGCCAAGCCAAGCCAAGCCAAGCCAAGCCTCAAATCCTAAATCAATAGCTTGTTTGGTTTGGTTTAGCGCTCGTTTCAAGCTTGTTGGAAAAGTTAGCTAGACTGATTTGCTTGGCAAAAGCAAAACAATCATTGCAGTGGATTTCTCTAATTCGTTTCCTAAAAGACACCTATTTTAGATTAGCTGAAAGGAGATGGAGCTGGAGCTGGAGCTGGAGCTGGAGCTGGAGCTGGAGCTGGAGCTGGAGCTGGAGCTGGAGCTGGAGCTGGAGCTGGAGCTGGAGCTGGAGCTGGAGCTGGAGCTGGAGCTGGAGCTGGAGCTGGAGCTGGAGCTGGAGCTGGAGTTGGAGCTGGAGCTGGAGCTGGAGCTGGAGCTGGAGCTGGATTAGCTGAAAGGAGCTGAAGCTGGAGCTGGATTAGCTGAAAGGAGCTGGAGCTGGATTGGCTGAAAGGAGCTGGAATAGCTGAAAGGAGCTGGAGCTGGAGCTGGATTAGCTAAAAGGAGATGGAGCTGGATTAGCTGAAAGGAGCTGGAGCTGGATTAGCTGAAAGGAGGGATTGGCTTGATTTTGCTATAGTAATAGTCATTATTTTGCTATAGTAATAGTCCTAAGCCTTTTAAAAATCAAACCTGAATGCCTAGTAAAGGCTGCGAATAGATGATGATTGTAAGAAATATCGTGTAAAGACACATGGCTCAAAATCTTCACATAATCAATATTTAGCTCATTAATCCTTGAAAGAATCTCTTGCTTTTGTTGTTCTTTATTATATTCCTATGCTTTTTTCCTACTGTACCTCGAAAAATCAATGCCTTTTTCAATCAAAATCAATGCAACTCGGACAAAATTAATGTCTATTGAGTGGAAAAATTGCATCAAGGCAACATCAACATTCCCTTGTGAACTTGCGATTAACTAGATAATCCTGTCGATCTTATCAAGATTAAATGAAACTAAATTCTATACAAATAGTAGACTAGTTTAAACTAAGTTAAGCTTATTAAAGAAGGCTCATCCAGTAGCTAACAATCAGTAGTTTTTCAGTTTTCAGCTTTTTCACCTTGTATATAGGGTGCGTCATAATTATTGCAACAAGAGTTCAAAGACCGTTCAAAGACGTTCAAAGTTTTAAAGAAGAATGTGATGTCATGGGCGTGTAAAGCCAATAACAATCAAAATTGGACCTTCATGCAAGATGGAGCTCCCGCTCACACGAAGAAGACGGCTCAGGACTGGTGTGTGGCCAACTTTCCCTCAGTGATCACCAAGGATGAATGGCCTGCAAACTCACCGGATCTCAATGTGATGGACTTTTCCATTTGGGCAATCTTAGAGGCTAATGTCTGGTCTCGAAAACACACAAGTTTGGATTCTTTGAAGAAGTCTTTGACCAAAGGATGGAAGGCGATTCCTCAAGATGACATTCGGGCCGCAGTGGAGGCATATCCGAACCGATTAAGGGCTGTTATCAAGGCAAAAGGCGGTCATATCGAATGATCTCTTGTTTCCTTATTTGTTACTGTTAAATAAAGCTATTTCTGTTTAAAAATCTTCTTCTAGTGAAACTTCTTGGTGTGCAATGCCTTGAGTATCTTGTTGCAATAATTATGACGCACCTTGTAGATTCAAATCTAAAAGAAACTCAAAGTACAGCAATCATTATCATCATTTTAAACCGATCATTGAATATCTTCAGATTGAAATCTAATTCTAACTAATTCTAACTGTTGTGTGAACTGAATATTTCCTCAATTCCCTTAGCAAATGTTTTTGATGAAGGTAGGGAATGACCAAAGCCAACTTTTCTCCTCGTTCCTCGATAAAATTGATGGAATTTGTAAACTTGTGGACTATTAAAAAGTAAAAATAAAGAATTTATTCATCATCAAATGAGCTTTGCGTGGTTGCTTGTCGTTTCGGATTCGGTTTTTCGGATTCATTGCACAAACGAAGTGATGAGTGGACTCTCGCGAGCCCCAAATCATTGAAATTCTCCGTCTTTTTCAAAAGCATTCTTTTGTAATCGATCTGGAAACAAAAATTCAATAAAATCGATATTTCAGAAAATACGACAAAAGCCAAAGCTACGAGATTATCGTAATTTAAAGGTTATAGTAATTTAAAGGTTATAGTAATTTGAGAAAACCGTCAAGCGTAAGAGAATACACTGATCAACTCATTCCCTACCTTCATCTTTAGCCCATCGCAGTTTGCTCCAGTGAACAATACATAACAGGACTCTTTCTCCCCCACATACGCCGACTCGACCGCTTTATCCCAACCCTAAACAAGTTGAAGCCTCTAAAAGATTTGTAATTTCACCCACGTCTGGAAAATCAACGCATTGCGATGATTGGAGCAGACAAAACACTATTTCCTCGCCTAAAATATGCACTGAATTGTTGATTGTGTTAAAGAGACCTTCATAAAGAATCCTCTTGAACAAAGCAATCCCAGCGAGTGAGCAATCTGGGATTTCCTCGTCCTAAATGTTCTTAAACATATTTAAACACAGGGCACTTACAGTTAAAGTGGCCACAGAAACAGTGGTTGAATTTGTCGTAGTTGCGGCACTTCCCCCCTCCCCATCACCTCCTTCTTCTTTCCATGTCGTTGTGACACTAGAAGGAGTCTTGGCTGTAGTTGTTTTAGTGTCTGGAGAGCTTACTCCTCCTCCTCCGTCTCCTCCTCCTCCGTCTTCGTTCAATGTCGTTGTGAGACTAGGAATCTTGACTGTAGTTGTTGCAGTGTCTGGAGAGCTTACTCCTCCTCCTCCTCCTCCACCTCCTCCGTCTCCTCCTCCTCCTCCGTCTCCTCCTCCGCCTTCGTTCAAGATCGTTGTGGGACTAGGAATCATGACTGTAGTTGTTGCAGTGTCTGGAGGGCTTACTCCTCCTCCGCCGTCTCCTCCACCTCCTCCTCCATCGTTCATGTCCTCCTGGCCTAACTCCTGCCTGTTTCTTGCGGTGTCTGCCTACTCCACCTCCTCCTCCTCCTCCGTCTCCTCCTCCTCCTCCTCCGTCTCCCCCTCCGTCTCCTCCTCCTCCTCCTCCGTCCCCTCCTCCGTCTCCTCCTCCGTCTCCTCCTCCTCCTCCACCTCCTCCGTCTCCTCCTCCTCCTCCGTCTCCTCCTCCTCCTTCTCCTCCACCTCCTCCGTCTCCTCCTCCGTCTCCTCCTCCGTCTCCTCCTCCTCCTCTCCTCCTCCGTCTCCTCCTCCACCTCCTCCTCCGTCTCCTCCTCCGTCTCCTCCCTCCTCCTCCGCCTCTCCGTCTCACCTCGTCTCGTGCCTAGGAACCATGCCTGTCCTCCGTCTCCGTCTCCGGCTCTCCTCCTCCTCCTCCTCCTCCTCCTCCGTCTCCTCCTCCTCCTCCTCCGTCTCCCCCTCCGTCTCCTCCTCCTCCTCCTCCGTCCCCTCCTCCGTCTCCTCCTCCGTCTCCTCCTCCTCCTCCTCCTCCGTCTCCTCCTCCTCCTCCTCCGTCTCCTCCTCCGTCTCCCTCCTCCTCCTCCTCCGTCTCCTCCTCCGTCTCCTCTCCTCCTCCGTCTCCTCCTCCTCCTCCTCTCTCCTCCTCCTCCTCCGTCTCCTCCTCCGTCTCCCTCCTCCGTCTCCTCCCCTCCTCCTCCTCCTCCTCCTCCGTCTCCTCCTCCACCTCCTCCGTCTCCTCCTCCGTCTCCTCCTCCGCCTCCTCGTCTCAAGCTCCTCGTGGGCCTAGGAATCCTCGACTCTCCTCTGTCTCCCGTGTCTGGAGAGCTTACTCCACCTCCCTCCTCCTCCTCCGTCTCCTCCTCCTCCTCCTCCGTCTCCCCCTCCGTCTCCTCCTCCTCCTCCTCCGTCCCCTCCTCCGTCTCCTCCCTCCTCCTCTCTCCTCCGTCTCCTCCTCCTCCGTCTCCTCCTCCTCCTCCACCTCCTCCTCCGTCTCCTCCCCTCCTCCTCCGTCTCCTCCTCTCTCCTCCTCCTCCTCCTCCGTCTCCTCCTCCTCCTCCTCCGTCTCCTCCTCCGTCTCCTCCTCCTCCGTCTCCTCCTCCGTCTCCTCCTCCGTCTCCTCCTCCTCCTCCTCCTCCTCCGTCTCCCCCTCCGTCTCCTCCTCCTCCTCCGTCTCCTCCTCCTCCTCCTTCTCCTCCTCCGTCTCCTCCTCCACCTCCTCCGTCTCCTCCTCCTCCGTCTCCTCCTCCTCCGTCTCCTCCTCCGCCTTCGTTCAAGATCGTTGTGGGACTAGGAATCATGACTGTAGTTGTTGCAGTGTCTGGAGAGCTTACTCCACCTCCTCCTCCTCCTCCTCCGTTTCCTCCTCCTCCTCCTCCTCCTCCTCCTGCTCCACCTCCTCCTCCATCGTTCAATGTCGTTATGGGACTAGGAATCTTGACTGTAGTTGTTGCAGTGTCTGGTGAGCTTACTCCTCTTCCGCTGTCTCCTCCTCCACCTCCTCCTCCTTCGTTGAAGATCGTTGTGGGATTAGGAATCTTGACTGTAGTTGCTGCAGTGTCTGGAGGCAAAGGCAGAATGCCCTTTGTTGTTGCGTTTGTTAGTGTTGTTGTTGTAATCGGTTGTCGAGTTGTTGATGGATTGACTTTGCTCGGAGTAACCGGGTTCTGTGTTGTCGAGATGAATCCAATCGTTTCATTTGATTCTGCAGTTATTGTTTGAGTGCATGGTTGATCATCATCAAAGGTTGCCGGCCCAAAAGTGTGCATGAGCCATTCATCGAGTGACCGGGGGGAGTTCGCATTTTCCTTCGCATGTGGATGTGCCTAGATTAGCACTTAATGATACTGTGTCATCACCGCTGTAAGCTTAATCTAGTCAAATACTAAAAATCTCGTTTAGCGTTTTTTCCTTTCGACTACACTCACTCTAAACATATTTCCATACTAGACCTGTTCCTTTTCTTCTGATTGTCAATAGTTGTACAACGAAGAAGCTATATTTTCATGATTTCTTGAGACAAAGACAGAATTTTCCTATCTGGCTCTAAAAGGCCTTTAAAAAGTAGCCATTGAGGTGATCAAATCTCTTTTTTCCATTGTACAATTGTTGGCCGTTGTACAATTGATCAAAAATAAACAGCTTTCAAAAGTATTCAAGTCTCACTCGACATCGAGGCTTCGTTTTGGATCCGTTCTAACCTCCGGTACTAGTCAAGCTTGTAATCTAACCTCCGATACTAATCAAGCTTGTAAACTAGATCTTTAAAAGATTTGAAATTGCATTCCAAAACTCAATGACTCTGTAAATTGAGCACAAAGATCTTTAAACAACCTTTTCTTGTCGAAATGGTAAATGCTGGGATATTGTTGATGTTGTTGTTGTAAAGGAAGCAAGACTGATGCCTAAATCCGAATGTATTAGGTGTGTTGCTGGTTTGATATTGATAAATTGAGCACAAAGATCTTCTATATCATCGGGGAAGTTCATTTGAGCCCATTCTTCGATCGAGAGAGATCGGAGCGCAGAATTTGCAGAATTGGCTGACTGCTTCTAGAAATTTGCTTGTTTAAACGGGGTTTTTTTAAAATGTTTCAAAGCCAGAATATATCTTCTGTGTTCCATTTTATTACTTCGTTTCTTAAACCGCCTTTTCTTTTCTTTCTTCTACTCATGCTCCCTCTCCACCTTTCTATTAATCTTGTCTCTTTATTTTATCAAATCTATCCACTTTTTGCATTTTCTTTGTGTTTTTATGCTGTTTGCGCCTATTTTTCGTTATTTTTTTTACAGATTTTACGCTTCTACGAAAAATTTAACGACTTTTAACGACAACGAGAAAGTTAACGATTTAACGACGAGTCAAGGATGATTCAACAACAATTCAACGATGATTCAACGACGATTCAATGATGATTCAACGATGATTCAACGACGATTTAACGACGATTCAACAACGATTCAAGGATGATTCGGCAACGATTCAACAACGATTCAACAACAATTCAACGATGATTCAACGACGATTCGACAACGACAACGATGACAACGAGATCAATGAGATTCAACGAGATCAACAACGATTCATCGACGATTCATCGATGATTCAACGACGATTTAACGACGATTCAACAACGATTCAAGGATGATTCGGCAACGATTCAATGATGATTCAACGATGATTCAACGACGATTTAACGACGATTCAACAACGATTCAAGGATGATTCAACAACGATTCAACAACGATTCAAGGATGATTCAACAACGATTCAACAACGATTCAAGGATGATTCAACAACGATTCAACAACGATTCAACAACGATTCAAGGATGATTCAACAACGATTCAACAACGATTCAAGGATGATTCAACAACGATTCAACAACGATTCAACAACGATTCAAGGATGATTCAACAACGATTCAACAACGATTCAAGGATGATTCAACAACGATTCAACAACGATTCAACAACGATTCAACAACGATTCAAGGATGATTCAACAACGATTCAACAACGATTCAAGGATGATTCAACAACGATTCAACGATTTGAAACGAAAAAAGACGAGCCAAATTCCAACAGTCTGATGCTCATTAGATAAAATTTTACGATAAAGATAAAATTGCCGCTGATTAAATAAAAAACAGGAGCTTTGCTTTGAATTTACAGTGAAATGTTTTTTTCGTACTAACAATGTACTAAAAATGTACTAACAGTCTGTTCTAGGTTATCAGAGTTAAACTTCTAGAAAATCTCTAGAAACTGATTAAAGTATTTAAAAAATATGATACCCTACTCTGCAATAATGTCCAATTCAATTCAAATCGAATACAATAGATAATCAAATACAATTAGATAAAAATTAGAGCAAGATAGAAAGGGGAAAGGGTTTGAGAAAACTCTATAAACAAAACTCTTTAAACAAATTTTATTCTATTCTATTCTATTCTATTCTATTCTATTCTATTCTATTCTATTCTATTCTATTCTATTCTATTCTATTCATCTATTCTATTCTATTCTATTCTCATTCTATTCTATTCTATTCTATTCTATTCTATTCTATTCTATTCTATTCTATTCTATTCTATTCTATTCTATTCTATTCTATTCTATTCTATTCTATTCTATTCTATTCTATTCTATTCTATTCTATTCTATTCTATTCTATTTACGATCATTAAAAACCTCTTGCGATTGAATTGGTAATTGGATGGCTTCGTGAAAAAGTCTTGAAAAAAAGATCAAAATAGTAATTGAATAAATCATGATCAGAACAAAATCGAGTTTTTCTTGTGTGTGAAATTTTGAACGGAAAAAAATGGAGAAAAAGAAGAGAAAAAGGAGCATTTGATGAATTAATTAATTAGTTGGATAGTCCTTTTAGCACCTTTTAGCACAAGGATGGGGCTGACGGACACCCAAGTCAAGGCTTGGTATCAGAATAAAAGGTTGGGCTTGAGAACTTGTCATTGATTAGTACAATGAATTTCAAATGCCGCAGCACTCATTCATTCTCTTCAGTCACTCATCTCTCTTATCCAATTTTGAGCAATAATAGACCCGAGCCTAGGGGAGCATTAAGCGATCGAAATGGCCGCCAACATGATTAAATTAGTATCCAATATTCTTCGAAGACTCTCCATTATCAAGACTTCGAAGACATTATCAATTATTTGTAGTTTACACCTTTATCTCCACTGAATGTTCTTCAGGATTATTTCTATTGGATTGGTGAATTGAAAACTGCCGGCTATTGTCATATGTGACAGTTTGAGCACTTTCTTCAAAAGAAACCCATTTTGGTGTCAATGGAAAAGTTGTAGAGAATCAAAAATCGAGCTTAAATCCAAATTTTCAGAACGATTCAAAAACTGGTTTTCAAGAAATGCCAAATTTACGAATTTTCACAAAACTTGCATTTTAAGCGAAACTACTAAGTGGATCTTTTTGGAAATTTGGCTATAAACCTAATTTTTGATTCTCTACAACTTTTCTATTGACACCAAAATGGGTTTCTTTTGAAGAAAGTGCTCAAATGCTCAAACTGGGACATCTCCAGTCCTCGATTTTTGAGTCTCACACTTGTCTCACACACAAACAAAAATCCTACTACGAAAGAGGAATCCGAAAATTGCCTGTAAAATGGGCAGAAGTCGTCAATAATAATGGAAATTATTTGGAATGAATTTATGGTTTTATGTTGAATAAATTTTAGTTCAAAGTCTGGCAGTTTTCAATTCACCAACCTAATAGATATGAGCCTGGAGTATGATAAAGTCTTCTTTACTGAAAAATAACAATTAACTTTACAGTACTTTCTAAAAAATCAACTAAAAAGCTACACTTCTAGCTTATAGCTTTTTTAGCTTATGTCTGTTTTCCGTCTGTTTTCCGCCTGTTTTCCATCTGTCTTCCGTCTGTCTTCCGTCTTTTTTAATGAAAGTGCGAATTTGTCAAATCATGAACTTTTATGGTTTCAATTGAGCTTTGTTTTTGAATGTTTTAAATGTAAATAGATTGTATCTATGCACGAATTAAATGTAAATTTGCCACTAATCAATTTATTGTTCATCAGTGGTGGGTTGTCTCGTACTCGTTGCACACACGAATCGAGGCATGGCGACCGGCAAGATTGTTGTCGAAGAGGTTCTCCGTTTTGCGCTCTTTCACCTTACGGTAGTTCACCTGAACAAAACCTTCATAATGCGATTCTAAAAAGTCTTCTAAAAAGTAAAAAGACATTTTAGACGAACCACCGTAATCCTAGCGCCAGTTTTCGTATTTAATCAGCCCAATTTTGGTCTAGTTCGGGGTGTAACGTAATCGAGGATGATTTGTATTTCAGAATAGCTGAATGGCACAAATGGGTTTCCCTAAAACCCTCACAACGTTCAGTATAAGGTTGAAATCGTGAATTATCTACGAAATTATGATTCAGCACTTTGAAATTATCTGCCGAAAGGCATTTTTTTTGTTATCCTTAAGGCCCTTAAGGCCCCCCGTATCCTTAAGGCGATTTTCTTTCCTAGAATTGAAATTTACCGTAGATTTTTCATCTCTTTCGTGTGATCTACCCTAAAATCTGCATCTAGGGTTTCTCGCGAGCGTTTTTCTTTAATTTACACTTGAGGAAAAGTACCATAGTCTTAGCGAAAATGATTATAAAAAATCGGTGCTAAAAATCGGTGCTAAAAATTGGCGCGAAAAAAACACGAGCGCTTCCATAAGGAGGCGACTCGACTCCATACGATTCCTTTTAAAGATATCCAGTCGTTTAACTGATTTTGGTGGCTATCTGTAAAACTAGAGTTGACCTTTGTTCGTTATCGATTAATATATATGGCTCCTTTTAAAGAAATTCGCCGGTTTAACTGATTTTGGTGGCAAATGTAAATGGCAAATCCCTTCAAATGTAAAGATATTCAATTTACTCGATGTGTAAAGAGGATTACTCGTAGTTAATCGATCAAAAACATTGATTAATCGAAATTACGCGTGCAAATTTTACTTGCAAGGAACACACTCTACTTATGATACGCATTACAAAAAGGAGTGTGAGGAGAAGCATCAAATCCCAAAAGAATGGCAAGCCAAACCCAAAAGAATTGCAAGCCAAACCCAAAAGAATGAGAAGCTAAAAGTAAAAGTCCAAGTTCTCTTTAAAATCGAAAGAAAGAAAGAAAGAAAGAAAGAAAGAAAGAAAGAGAGAAAGAAAGAAAAAGAGAAAGAAAAAGAAAGGAAGAAAGAAAAAAAAAAAAGAAAAAGAAAGGAAAAAGAGAATGAGACGAAAAGGCGACGAAAAATCGACGCAAATTAACTGCAAATAGGAGCGTAAGGGAACGGACGCAACCTTATCATTCGACGAGCAATCACAAGGTCTCAAGTCAATGAAATCAAAATTAAAAACAGGCGATTGGATTACGATAGTTTTTTTCTAAAATAGATGCTTTTAGAGAACGCATTAGTCGGGAGAAGAAGCGCACTTTACTCTTGCTTTACACTAAACTCTACCCCCACCTTAAACTCCATGCCGTCACAATTCTCCGAGGTGAACAACATGTAGCAAGCTTTCTCATTGCCCACATAAACCGATTCCACCATTCGAGACCAACCCTAAACATGAATGACCAGCCCTAAATCAAATGAAATTAAGCATCATTGAAATTACCGGTGGAAAATCAACACATTTAGAGCTTCGATCCAAACAAAGACCGAGCACATCGCCTGGCAATTTGTTGATTGAGAATAAAAAGTAAATTGAATAGCTTTATCTCTTTTATCTCTTTTGACATCTAATTGCAAGTTTTATAGCCACAAACCTTGATAGAGCGGTTTCTGAAACAAGGCGATCCCTTGGGTGCCGCATTGGGGTTGGTCGGTGTCCTGTGGATAGAATTTTTCTATATATTTTAGGGATATTGTAAGTTTAGATCTCACTACAGTAACCCGACTTAAAGTATCCAGCTAGACTTACTGTAACCAGGAAACCAGACCTACTGTAACCAGGAAACCAGACCTACTGTAGCTAGAAAACCAGACCTACTGTAGCTAGAAAACCAGACCTACTGTAGCTAGAAAACCAGGACCACTGTAGTTAGAAAACCCCAGGCTTACTGTAGCTTTCATTATCTTAGCTTTATACTTTAAAATCTCTCACATAGGCACTCCGATATGGGTCCTCGTGACCTCCCGCTTCATTTCCACCGCCAACATTTGCCTGCGCCTCACTCCATTTCACCAACACACAAATCACCAAGACTAGATGGGAAAGCATTTTTCTGAAACTTTACAAAAACTGGATATTGGATAAATCAGAAAAGAAAAAGAATTGTATTGCCCGGAGAAGCTGATTGGTATTGGGCTTTCATGTAAGATTAGCGGAATTAATTTTCTTGGAAAATGTGCCACGTTGAGTTGGCTGTCAAAGAAATTAGTGCTTGAGAATTTGGGGACCAACAAAAATGATTGATTTGTTGATTTGTTGTTGATTGATTGCATTAGTTGTTGGGTGTTTTTTTGCTGTCGTTGACTCGGTTACTTATCTCATGCTAAACCCAAGAAAAGACGGAATAAAATGAATATCTCCAATCGATTCGCCGATCCAGAAAACCCCCGGGTACAAATTTCCAGCTGAATATCTTTTTGTGCCATCTACAAAGCAAAAGAGAAATCCCTAAATGACTGTCAAAGTGTTCTTTGTGCGGCGGCGTAATCGCTCTCCATCTGGCACACGGCCCCGGATAGGGTGCTGCGCTTTTGGAATCGGAAGGAGAAGAAGAGGTGAGCGAATGATTCTAATAAATGGGGGGGGGTTGGAAGGGGGGGAGGATTTTTCGCGTGAAGTATCTAGGACTTATCTAGGAAGGTGCTTCCCTCTTGGACTCCGCAAAAGAGAAGGAGCGGTGAGCGACTGAGCCGGTTTAGCCATTTTTGGCCACTATGCCCAAATTCTTGGAAGCAATTTTTCCCCTTAAATTTGACTGTATTTTTGCTAGGTCCAGACCCAAGAAACCCGGTAAAAACCATAATTATTACTTGAAGTATCATATTTGACTGAGCTATGCCTAAACTTTTGAATGTTGCTAAACTGCTAAACTTTTAATTTGCTATGCCTAAACTTTTGAATAACTGCTATGCCAGATAGATTTTTGCGTTAAATTTGTTGAAATTTTCCTATGAATTCGACGTCCTGTAAACTAGATATGATTTCGATAACTTCCATATGACTATGCATAAGTTTTAGCAAGAAAAATTAAAGTTAAAAGTTAAAGTGGGCATCTAAAAAGATTCCGTGAATAGAATTGAATTGAGAGTTGAATGGGAAAACCCGAACTCTGAACTATTTTGAGAGTTTTCTATAAGACTCATGAGTTTTGGCTCCCCAATCTTTCTACATGTCAATAATGTACGGTAACTTTATTTTGTTTTGCGGAAATTCCAAAGCTATTTTTCCTACATTGTGGTGAATCTCGATCAAGCAGTTTTTCAGAAAATCGTTTTTTATTAACCAATAGATTATCAGAAAAGATGTTTCTTGTTTTTTGAAAGAAGAAAATGCAGTTTCTTGTTTCTTTCGTTATTGGAAATCGAAAAGAAATGAATAAATTATTGTTGGCATTGTGGGAAAATAAACCGTGAAGGACTTGGTACCAGAATTGATTTCCTGGAAACACTGATGAAATTAGAGAAAAGCTTTCAAAGGGGTTTTCAAAAAAAGATGAAGAAAAAAGATGATGAAGAACGGAAATGAGAACAAGTGTTGAAAGCTATGAGATTAAGGTTAATGCTTTAGTAGTATTTGTAGGTTAATGCTCGAGGTGTGATCATTGCAGGCAATTCTCCATTCGCTTCTTCTTCCCCTTTCCTCCATTCGCTTCTTCTTCCCCTTTCCTCCATTCGCTTCTTCCTCCACTTTCCTCCATTCGCTTCTTCTTCCCCTTTCCTCCATTCGCTTCTTCTTCCCCTTTCCTCCATTCGCTTCTTCCTCCACTTTCCTCCATTCGCTTCTTCTTCCCCTTTCCTCCATTCGCTTCTTCTTCCACTTACTTCTTGGTTTCAATGTTTGATTCACTCTCTAGTTAAAAAAACACCTTCCAGGATCAGAGAACTATCAGCTTTCTTCAGCTTCTTCAGCTTCAGCAATTCTGATACTGTTCGCTAACAATCGGACCATTATTTCATGAAAAAATGACGCTCTTTCAAAGACTATATAGAGTTTTTATTTCAAAAGTGTAAAATAGCAAGTTCTCTATGCTGAAAGTAAACTTTCGATTTATTATTAAAGAAAATAGAACCATTTTTGACGCGTTAAGCTCTTTCCCTTGCTCAGTCAATGTTTTTCTCGTAAACTATTGCAAAAAAAATGCTCACCACCAAAATCGTATCACTCTAAAAAGCGAAAAAGACTATTTCAAAACTACAAATTTCATCACTAAAGTGAATTTCTTCAGCGAAACCGAGGCAATGACTGTTCTCCAATTCAACCACAACGCAACGCTCCGTCTTTACACAACGTGACGCCGTGTATTTCTCTTTGGACAAAGAAAGACAAGATTGCCTCATTTCGAAGATTTACGAAACGTTTTCAATTCTCTATCTAATCTTTGTTTATTTCTTTTGCTGAAGGAGAAAAAATAGCTAGAGGAAGAGAAAGATGCAAATAAAACAGGTTAACGAATGGATTTTTGGCTGTAAAGATCGATTTTTAGTTGTAAAGATCGATTTTTAAGAAAGATTATGTTAAGATTTTATTGTTTAGCTTTTAGATCTTTGTAGCTTTCAGAGCTTTCAGAGCTTTCATCAAAATTGTCATCAAAATTCGATTTTAGAGGCCTTTTATGGAGGAGGAGCTGATTCGAATTGAGGGTAATTTATTGATTTTCGATGAAGAAGTCGTCCTTCGGAGAGCGCTGAATGCTTGGAAGAAATGCGATGAAAAGGTAAGCAAAAAAAAAGAGAAGGGTTGAGGAAAACTACCCGAAAAACTAGCCGAAAAACTTTTTAGAAAAGTAGTTCTCGTTTTTCAGACTGTTTACAATGAAATCATCGCGTTAACGAATAAAATCACGAAAAATTACTTCGACGAGCAAAAAAATGAGTTCATTGCCCATGTGGAGAAGATCGATGAAGAGAAAGTGGAGAAAATCGTGGGAATCATTTTCGAGAGAGCAATGGAGGAACCCGAGTTTTGCAAGCTTTATGTGCAGCTGTGTCAGGCACAGGTGAGCAAATTGTATAAAGTTGGTATAAAAGGGGAACTTGATCGGGTAAAGAAGAATAATTGTTTGTTAATTGAATAATTGTTAAGCAGTTTTTCAAATCAGAATTTATAAAGAGATCAGCAGTTAACTGTTTATCGTATTTATTCTAATAGAAAGCTACTTACCGTATTTGTTCTATTCATGGTCCTCTATTGAGCTTCTAGAAGAGACTGGCCTTCCAGAAGAGACTGACCTTCCAGAGGAGACTGACCTTCTAGAGGAGACTGATCTTCTAGAGGAGACTGATCTTCTAGAGGAGACTGATCTTCTAGAGGAGACTGACCTTCTAGAGGAGACTGATCTTCTAGAGGAGACTGATCTTCTAGAGGAGACTGGTCTTCTAGAGTGATCTTCTAGAGGAGACTGGTCTTCTAGAGGAGACTGGTCTTCTAGAGGAGACTGGTCTTCCAGAGGAGACTGTGACATTCGGGAAATGACATTTGGGCCAAGAGCCCTGGTGACAATTGGGAAATGCATCCATCATGCCCAAATGGTAAACGGGATCGAGTTTAGAGAAGAGATTCCTTAAGCGAACCGATGCTGGAATGCGGTTTTGAGCTTCAAGAAAATTCCAAATCCATCGGATTAAGTTGAAGATTAAGATTGAGGGTGGACGCTAAAAGTTGCCAAGACGGGAAAATGCTGCTTGCGCCAGTCCTGAACCACTCGAGCTTTATAAGCACCAGCAACATCCTGCATAAAACACCAAATCCTGTTGCCAAAGTGATTTTTGGCTCATGAAAGAAGATCTTTTTTTAAGTCTGTCGAGATAGTTGTTGAAACTAGCATTGATGCTCTGAGGCGGTTGCAATAATCCTGTCGCATCATGTACAGTAAATCTTTCAGATCTCGGCTGATCATCAAAAAGCAGAGACTTCGAAATTCGCCGAGATTCTCATCACGAAAACCCAGCGACTCTTCGATTTTCTTTTTGGAGAGGATTCGAAAAATGAGGTGAGATATGGGAAAATGTCTTTTGATACTATTGACAATAAGTAGAAGAAAGGTTTGACAAGATTTACTTGGACAAATTGACACACTGAATCTAAAGATATGCTGGTTTACTGTAGTTAGATACCACCCTCAAAACAGTTAGATAGTTCTAGAGATGCTGGTAATCAGTTAGATACTCTAAGGCTCTAAAAATATCATAATTTTCTAGCAACCTTTCAGATCAATGGGCCCACTCAAATCGAGATTCTGTTAAAAGAAAAGGAAAAAATGGAGCAATCATTGAAGAGCTCGAGATCACGGGAATCTAGCGCCTCGCTTGCCGAGATCGAAGTGAAATTGAAATGGAAACAAAATGGGTTCATTAAGTAAGTTTTTTTAAATAAGAATTCCAGTAGTTAATGCCAAAATTTAGTCTCATCGGTCAGCTGTACTTGGCGAAAATCGTGAACCCGAGAATCGTGAACTATTGTTTGAAGAAAATGATGCAACAATTGAAAAAGCCGACGGAGGATGAAGAAATCGATTGGCGACAAGAGAAAGTTGAGGTGGGATGGGTAGAAAAAAAACTGATGAGCCTACTCAGAGTTACTATGAGTTGCAAAAAGCTACCCGTACTCGGATGTTGAGTTGACTGGTGAGCTAGTACCAAATTGGCTTGGCCTGGCTTGGCTGGCTTGGCTGGCTGGCTTGGCTTGGCTTGGCTTGGCTTGGCTTAACTTCAGTCTGAAGCTAGCTAATGCTCCTAATCCCGATAGGATTACGGTAGTTTCTCGATAGGATTATGGTAACTTTCTTGATAGGATTACGGTAGTTTACCTAGGAATTACCATGCGAAAGCTCAGCGAGATGACTGTAGCCTTTCTTGAGCGCACGCTTTAGAAAACTAGTTAGTCTGGTCTTTAGTGTAGTCTGGGCATAAGCGCCAAATAAAAACTACCTAAAAACTACCTAAAAACTTACCAAAAAACTCTTCCAGATGTCGATTCTTGGCTTTTGCTCTCTTCTCCAACTTGTCGCCGAAGATTTGGTCAAAAATTCGACAACAAACGAGATTGAGACTTTGCGATTTTTGCTCGATTTCTTGTATGAGAATCGTCAGCGCACCGTCAACCGGATACGGTTTGATTTACGGTTAAAACTTGAAACATAAAATCGATTTCAGGTTTTCCATTATGGACACTCACGAGACTACTGCCCCAATGCTTTCTAGGATCTGAAAAATAAAGAAATAAATTTTTATGCACGAAGAAAGTTCTTTGAGAATGAGAACACAATGAAAAAAGAAAAAGCGAAAGGCCAAGTACTGGAGGCCAAGTACTGGAGGCCAAGTACTGGAGGCCAAGTACTGGAGGCCAAGTACTGGAGGCCAAGTACTGGAGGCCAGGTACTGGAGGCCAGGTACTGGAGGCCAAGTACTGGAGGCCAGGTACTGGAGGCCAGGTACTGGAGGCCAGGTACTGGAGGCCAGGTACTGGAGGCCAGGTACTGGAGGCCAAGTACTGGAGGCCAAGTACTGAAAGCCAAGTACTGAAAGCCAAGAACTGTAGTGTATTTGCACGAAAAAGTTCTTTGAGAAACATAATGAAAAAAGAAAAAGCGAAAACAGAAAAAGCAAAAAAGATTAAATTTGCATATTTGTCTAAAATTTACATAGAAAACTCCTGGTAAATGAAAAGCGCTGGCCGAAATTCTTCATTTTCTTTTCTTCTTTACTCACTGACATGTTGCGTCTCTTCAAGTCATTGATTACTCGATTATTTAGCAAAAGCGAACGACGAACTGAATCGAGTGACGATTTGCTAATTTTGTTCAAGTTGCTTCGCATAACTTTTGATTTCTAGGATCACTCGCTGCGAGTGCCAGTGACTATGTGAGTTTGGCTTTTGTTTTATTTACTTTTTAGCAAATTTGATTCTTTTAGCTTAGATCTGCATCAAAAACCTGCAAAAAATAGGCTTTGATCTAAGATTTTCAAATGGCTCTTGTTTTAAAAAGATCTCCCCAGTTTTAATTGCCTGTTTACGAATTACCTACGGTAGACAAGCGGTAGACAACGATATTTTGAGGGCTGCAATCGAATCGAATCCATGTCAAACGACGCGTGAACTTGCTCAACAGTTTCTATGTTGTTCAAAAGTTTCTATGTTCAAATTCTACCATTGATGAGCATCTCCACGCCATTGGAAAGGCGATCAGATGCGGGAAATGGCTTCCTCACGAGTTAAGCAGTGCAAAAAAGGCTTCCTCACGAGTTAAGCAGTGCAAAAAAGGCTTCACGAGTCGCTATTACCGGAATCCTCATCCGCCACGCTACAGATCATGGCTTTTTTTGACTCTCTCGTTACTGGAGATGAGAAGTGGATCTATTTCGATAATACTGTTCGAAATGGCTAGAACCAGGAGAACGGTCAAATCCGACCGTGAAACCGGACATTCATGGGAAAAAGGTCATGCTCTCAGTATGGTGGAATAACAAAGGCCTTGTTTATTTTGAGTTTCTACAACCCGGCCAAACAGTCACATCAGACCTCTACAAGCAGCAAATTGGTCGGGTCAATCTCATTCGTCAATTGCTCAACAGTTTCTGTGTTCAAATTCTACCATTTTCTACCATTGATGAGCATATCCACGCCATTGGAAAGGCGATCAAATGCGGGAAATGGCTTCCGTCTTCCGGCTTCACGAGTTAAGCAGTGCAAACACTCGTTGATATCCGAACAACCTAATACTTGTCAAAATGTGAATAAATTATATGATTTGAAATTTTATTATATTTTATCTTTATTATATTCGTTTTCTAATCAATCACAGACAATTTTTTGATACAATTTGAGACTATGATGGTAAAGGCAAGGGTTTCCCGTATTCTGTTAACATCACAGAGAAGTAGACGGCTGTTTTAAGCTTTGGCAATGAGATAAAAACATGATTTTCAATCTGTCAATGTCAATCAATTTATAGTAGAAAGATTCCCTGAAAACGGGATTTGATTATTTCATTCACTCGACTGTGAGCTTCTTGCAGTGAAGGAATGTTGAAAGTTGGCGGGAGAAGGAGCACCAAAATTCGCTCGTTCACCTGAAAATTTTGATTGAAATGATATTTTTTCGATTCGATTCTATTTTCGATCGATTTTTAGCTTTTAGCTTTTAGTTTTCCTTTTAAACCCGCCTTTTTAATGACAATCCACCAATCTCGGCTCTCTTTCACAATACATTCGCCGAAATCTTCGCTTGCTTCGAGTAGACGATCGTACGTCTCGCAAACGATGCTAAATGTGTCAATTATCACAGAAAACTACCGTAAATACTTTAATAGTACCCCATCCCCCTCGTACAGTCGCGTAGTCGCAAAAGTTTTTTAGTATTTCATTTTTTTCAAAGCACCCGTACTTCCAAAAAATGCGTCTTTGGTATCAAAAAATAGCGCTGAATTTCAGCTATTTTTTGATATCTAAATGCGCATTCTAGCATAAACCAGTGTCGAGAACAACTCGTTCAAAGCTAGACTACACAACACTCCGCACCGTCATTATAGGGGTGGGGTACTATTACAGTCTTTACGGTAGGCAAGGTTTCTGAAATACGGTAGGTTTTTTTTAGAAAACACTTTAGTCAGTAAACTTTTCTGTCAGTAAACTCTACTTCACTTACTTGTGAACACTTTGTGGAACTGCTGGCAACTGGGGAGTATTCTTTGAAGTAATTCCCCCAACTAGGGGTGATTGATGAAAAGAGGTTCGAAGTGATAAAGAGGATGGATTGTAGTAAATGTAATGGAAATCCGAGACTCGAAGCTCGCTGTTTTCGGTCGAGATGCTTAATTTTTGTCTGATAAAGTATTTTCTTGCTTTTTTTTTGCTCACCTTTCACCAATCATACTTGCCAATTTTGGTAACTCGGCTCCCAAAAATCCATCCATATTTCTCATCATTAATCGAGTCACTTCAGTGTTGACAAATAAGCATATTGTGGCATTCAGCGATCGATAGACAAGCTAAATTTTGTTCAATTTCCATTTTCCTTTTTTGATAAATACCAGTTTGTGTTCTTCATAGGATTCATCGGCTGCTGTCAGAAAAACCGTTGGTGGAGAACAATCCTGAAAGAGTGACAATTTGTGCTAATTGAAAATGCTAATTAAAAAAGCTAATTGAAAATCTTACAAGTGTGATAGGTAGATCATTTTGCAAATCGGTGGGTCCTGTTAGCCATTTACCTCCAGGGACCCTTTAAATGAATGGATTACGGTTGGATTGGATGTTGGATTTGATATGAACCTCGTGTTTGGCTCGAGTTCAGCCCTCAGCGACATTGGCAGCAGATTTTCTGTCAGATAGCTAAATTTTACTCATTCGAAGCCTCTTTTTGTGATTTTACTCACCGATATAATGATGGTAGATCGGCTTTACTCACTGAATAGTACAGCAACTTGTCTTGGTAGAGAAACAACATCTTCGAAACGGCAGGAAAATCCTCTTTCACTTCGGCTAGCAGAGTTTCGATGGTCAGAAATGGGGTTCCTATAAGGATTGTCTTGGGATTTTTTGCAAACAAACCGTTCAATGGTTGAAAGTCGACCCCAATGAAATGATTCAAGAGGGGCATGTTAAAGAGACGAAGTTGAGAAAAATATCGTCCAAAGAAATAGTCGAGTCGCTGTTGGAATAAAGTTTCGTCTGCTCTTCGAAAATCTTCCATTGGGCCTAAATTCTTGACTTTGCTTCGAGTTTGCTCGTCATGATTCTCGTCAGTCATGATTTTTACTCACCAAAGAACAATTTGAACATTTTGTAAGCTTCTATCAGAACCGAGCGAAGTGTTGGCATGAAGATCGTGTACTCGAAATTCTTGCTAGCTTGCCTAAAAAAATACTTGTGGTAGCAGTTTAGAACCAACAAAAAAGGTTAGAACCAACAAAAAAAGTTTAGAACCAACTTGTCAAACGAAATTCCAAGCAGAAATTCTCCATGCTCAACCTGGACGTAGACCTGGGCTGTTTTATCCGTCATCACATCTCGATAAGGGAAATCTCCCTATAAAATTTTCATTTGCATAAATTTTATAAATTACCTCAAAATTTTGATTCTCCTTATCGGAAAAATCATTCATAAAGTTGACGATGGCCTCAGCGAAACCCGTAACTTCGGTCTAAAATCCATCGTAGATTTCAAAGTTGAAAATGAGTCATTAACCTGTCTTGTTTTATCCGGTGGTGTTCCAGGTTGTGTGTAGAAGTACATCACCTAAACTTCGGTATGCAAAAACGCCTTCCTTTACGTCTCCTACCCGTTTATGCTCTTCTCCTTCTCGTCGGCCACTCAATGGATGTGCCACGAAGAAGTAGTCGATTAGATCCGAAATCAGGCAGAGTGCGCCTCTAAAACTGATGTTATTATCTGATTTTACTATTGAGGCATACCTACCTATGCGTCGTTGCAGCCGTGTAATTTCCATAGCTGCTCGACAAATAGCGCAACGGGCTTTGAAGCATTCGGAATGCTAAATTTTTATAAATCGTAAACTAGATGCATCTTGAAAGACAAAGAAGAAAGAGTACCCGTTGTAAAAACCGTATGCAAACAAGAAACAAACATTAATAACTAAAATGTGGACTAAAGATCAGGAAATAACATTGACTTAAGGCAGTGATTTTCTTGTTGAATTTTCTCGAGATCCTCGAGCGTCTTTTGATATTTCATCTTTGTGTCAATGAGTAGAGAAACGAGTTCATCTCGAGTTTTCCCAGCGGTTTGTTCAATCTCAGTTTCTTTCTCGAGGGCAACAAAATGATCCAAATCCATCCTCTCGATTTCATCTTTTACATCCCTCTCGATCTGCGACCATGTTTTTGACGCCCTTCGCGTTAAAGGAGCTCTCCTGGCCACTTTTCTCTCTTGAGCAGCTTCTCGTTCCTGTGCATCTTGAATCAAAAACGATGTGCTGTTGAAGGGAGCTCTTCCCCCCGCGCGATGAGCCGAGGAGAGCGCCGAGGCGGTGAGCTGTTGTTGGACTTCTTGGCACGACGGCGACGAATCTTTTTCTTTTTTGGCACATTTTCATCCTTTGAAGCGGCTGAATCGGTCGATGATTGTAAAGAGGGCCGACTCCGCGATGAAGAAAAGGCCATTTCTGAAAAAAATGGTACTTTTTTACTTTTAAACATCAGAAATCTTCAAAAATTTAACAAAATGCAAATTTTAGAAATTAACATCTAAATAGGAAATTTTGTATGCATTTAACATATGATTTGTATTGTTAGCAAAAAATAAAAAGTGATTCGTTTTCCTTTTTAATTGATGGATCGGCTTCGCGGATTCAACACCAAACAATTATGCAACCTTCTTGCCTTCTTCTACAACTTTTGGATGCAAGTGAAAGAAAATTACTCATTGGAATAAGTATATTATTGAGCTTCAAGATATTATTTTACGAGTATTAATACATTTGCATTTAAAGCAGTCAAAAATTTTGCCTGATTTTTGGAGGGGGGACAAAGTAAAAAAGTACCAAAAAAGCGTGTTGTTTAGTTATAAAGGTCAAAAACAATCAATGAAAAGAAATTGAGAGTATCAAAAGTTTGGGGAGTGGGACAAATGCGACCTTTTTTTTGCGCACCTTTTTTCCCCCACCTTGCCCATTAGCGCACCTTTTTTCGCGTTTTAAAAAAGCTCTAAAAAGCTAATATTAACCAATTTCTATTCCAAAAGTTGTTTTTCTAGGTAATTTTAGGACGTAGAATCGAAATTTTGACATATCAGAGCGTGTGGAAACAAACGGACGGAGTTATACAAAGAGAAAAATCAACAATTTTCTGTAATTTGACCTAGCCGTTTTGTCTTTCAAATTGGTTCCACAAGCTCTGATATGTCAAAATTTCGATTCTACGCCCTAAAATTACCTAGAAAAACAACTTTTGGAATAGAAATTGGTTAATATTAGCTTTTTTAAGAAGCGAAAAAAGGTGCGCTAATGGGCAAGGTGCGGAAAAAAAGGTGCGCAAATGTCCGGGTGCGCAAAAAAAGGTCGCATTTGTCCCACTCCCAAAGTTTGGAACGTTTTAAAATCGATTTGCAAGCACTTGTTTAAGTAAAAAAATTTATTAACTGAATATCTCGAAAGTGGAGGCATTTTAAAAATTCAGTCGGGGAAAAATTCCTATATAAGCCTTTAGAGCGCCTTAATTTTTCACTTTATCGCTTTTAGTTTTTATTTTAAGTTCGGCTTAAATCTTTAGTTTTAAACGCTAAAATTTGAGTGTTTAGCTTTATGCAGATGGAAATTTTATTCAATAACACAAGCAATTGTCGCTATCAAAACAATTGTCCCGGGGTTTAATCGCCAGTACACTTGTTTACTAAAAACACCAACTGGGATTTCTCCTCTCTTTCTCGTTTCGAAAAAATAGCGCACTAAAGTTGTTTCTTAATTCGTGTTTTCTTTGTTCGTCAAGCACTCTACTTTAGTTTATCACGTATTTAGCGTAATTTTTTAGGTGCATGCGTAGAGGTCTCTACGACTGATGTCTATAACTCTGCACACAACTCTTGGCGACATCAAGGTGGAATTGTTCTGCGATAAGTGCCCCAAGTCCTGCGAGGTTGGTTTTGATTTTATATATCTAAACGGTGTTTTTCAGAACTTTTTGGCTCTCTGTGCTTCCGACTACTACAAGGACAACGTTTTCACGAGAAACGTCCGTGGGTTTATGGTACAAACGGGTGATCCTTCAAATACAGGTTTTGTTTTTCTTTATCAATGATCACTGTTTGAATTATAGGAAAAGGCGGTGAAAGCATTTGGGGGGCAGCTTTTGAAGACGAGCTTCACTCGGATTTGAAGGTATGATTTTTATGGTATTCTTTTATACGTTTGAGCTTAGCACGACGCTCGAGGCGTCCTGTCTATGGCCAATAACGGTCCTAACAAAAATCGATCGCAATTTTTCATCACTTACGACGCCCATCCACATCTTGATTTGAAGTACACAATTTTTGGAAAGTTTGTAGCCTGAATTGACTTCAATATCAAAAGTTTAGAGTTATTGACGGATTCGACGTGCTTGAGGAGTTAGAGGATCAAAAAGTTGGTGGGTTATTATTTGTTTACTTTTTACTAACAGATAAATTTTAGACGCCAAATATCGGCCAGTTGTTGAGCAACGTATCCGAGATGTCACGATTCATGCGAACCCTATTGCTGAAAAGCAATTACTTCACTAGGTATATGAGTTTTGTAAAAATAAAAAATAAAATACGCATTTAGATCTACCTCTTTTGTTATATCGCCTAAATTTTTCCGTTTGTATACTTCGTCCACACCTACCTCTTCAGAAAGTTCACTAGAAAATGATCAACAAAAGAAAATTCGACAAATGCAAGAATATTTTAGGTATCATCAAATTTTTTTCATTGAATTATTTGTATGTTTAGTCAATACATAGAAGAATACTACGAAGAAGAGGATTCTTTGCCAGAAGTAAAAGTCGTTTCCGCCAAAGTTTTAGAAGAGCGTATTAAGTAGGTTTTTTCACAGATTTTTTTACGATTTATTTTAGCCTTAGCACACTTGATGATGTTTTAACGTTATTGGAACGAGAGAAGGCTCAAGATATCAAGGTTCGACAGTTTCTTTTTAATTAATACTTTATATTTTAGGCTATCGACCTAACACAAATTGCCTCTTCGCCTTATCAGCATATGGTTATTTGTTCTCCGTTTAATCCTCGTCACGGGAAAGCTCTTACTGAGAAAATTAGACAGTTGAGTTTTTTATGTTTTTCATTAGTAACTCTTGCCTTTTAGAAACATAAAAGCCACTTCCAATCTTGAGCCTTCTATGAACCGTCACCAAATGGATGGCTCGAGTAGATCGGGATGGTACTGTGTGGAAGTGAGCAGCATTCAGGTGCATTTGATATTATAATCTGTTATGATTTGACCTTAGATACATGTGATGACTCCAAGCGTCCGTGAGCGATTTGATTTGGAAAGTCTCTGGGATGAAAAGCCTAAAGAAAACAGAGAGAAATCGTGGACTGATGATGCCATTCCACCGCCAAGTTCTACACCCCGTGTTTAATTGATTTTCGTGTGTTACTTTACATGTTATTTTGTCGTTTTGTTATTATTTGAATCTTGAATACCTATATAACGCGAATAAATGCTTTTCAAAGTTATTTATAAGCACTTTCCGTAGCCTTAAAACAAACAATACCTTGAGGAGCAATGCTGCTTTTAAAAAGCAAAGCAAAATTGGTCGACAAGTTCACCAATGAATAAGCTCTCGTTGCGAATACGCGATGTAAATCTGCGTAAGGTCGTGGAACGTGTAGGTTTTCTATGAAAAGACACGAGGTCGCTGATTTTATCCACCAACCTTTAGTCAAGTCACTCCTTTAGATCCATGTGCTTCTGCTGAGGCTATATGTGGCTTGCTGTTCTGTTCGGAACTTTCTTAACGTGGATTTTCTGTTTTATTTGGACGATCAACAGAGACGATTGGATGTATGATTGTGTTTATGATATTGAATTATTAATCAACGTGAATTTCTTTGACTGAATAAAATCATGTTTCAAAAAATATTGACTTTGTTTTTAGATCAGGGAAGAAGATGAAGGAAGAAAGAGAAAAGAGGAAACAGGAAGAAAGCGAAATCTCCGCTGCGGACAAGGCTCTTCAAGCTGTTGGTACGTTTGCTGTTCGAAAATGTTTTGGTTATGAATTGCTTTTAGCAAACATGGTGGAGAACGCGCTCGAATGGACAATTCAAGGAGTCGGAAACATTTCGGCAATCGAGAGTAGCGATTCTGCCGAGAGAGCCCCTTGTGGATGCTTGGCCAAAAGCAAAGCGAAACTACCATACGATGTAGACAAAGTTGTAAGTATTGTGGGCTTTTTTTCTTTTCACAAAATAAACTTTAGAGAAGAGTTGTTGATCTTTCTCGTCCTATGCCCACACGCGAAGACACTGTTGGAATCTTGAAAAATGGTCATGTGAAGCTGGCCTACGTCATTAATGTAATTCTTGATGTTAACAACTTACGCGAAAACGTTTAGATCGATCATGGTCTTCGAAAAAGTCCAGAGTACGCAAATTTGGTTGGTAGTCTTCTTACGACAGAATTGATTCCGTCTGGTTTCAAAACAAAGAGATGCATCGAAGAGGTAGCAAAAACTATATGAGAAAAAATATGTTGTTTTAGGCGTTTGTGGTTGACCGTGGCTTTAGCCTTGGCGAAACGGTGGTTTTGTATCAGAATGAGTTTCCGGACGATGCGAAAAAAGCCATTGAACGTACTTCAAAGAAAGGAATGATTGGACAAGTCGTTAATGCAAAGGTTGGGGGATAAACTATGAAATTTGCTAGGGTTTTACGTTATTTGTCGTTGTGTTCCTTCTCTTTTTTCGGCAGCAATAAATTTAGGTGACGTCGGATCTTTTGGTGCTCCCTGGAAAAACATATGTAGCGCGCAATATTAATTTAGGAAAGGTGGAAACGGTAAGCTTTGGCGTGCAGTTTGTTTTCATTTTTTTGTTTCTAGCTTGATATGGTCAACTTCAACTCGGCTCATAATTATATTCTATACGACGATTGGATTGGAGATCTAGTGAACATAACAAATGATATCACGATGATTTATAATGGCCATCGGTATTGGTTCTAAATCATTTTTAAACATCGAGAATTTCAGGTTTACGGTTCGTGACAACGGGTCTCTTGCTTTGATCCGAAAAGATAGATCTGATGAACAGAAGAGCTGTATTCCTGGTGAAGTTGTGCAGATGTTGATCTCGGATGTCTTATCATCGAACGTTAAAGTTAGTTGCCTTTTGCTAATCTGAAGCATTTTTGATTCAGTGGGAAAAAGAGATGCCTTTCAAGCTGAGAAGACTTTCCCGCAAGAAAAGCGCTCTTTATGGAGATGACTCGATTACGTGCCTTGTTGAAAAAGTTCGATTTAATCTGCGGCAAACCTACGTAAAATTTAGGTTGAGCCAGTGACTGTGGAAGTCAGATGGCTGATGTCTCCATCTTCAATAGAGCATCCTCCAAAGAACATTGAAAAATCTGATTTCAACAAGTAATCTAACATGTAAATTTTTAGTCATAGCATAACATCTAGGCTTACAAAAGTCGATCTTTCTGCTAACCTACGCATAGCGGCGGATGATCGCGTGCGGGTAAAGACAACTGATGAAGACAAGGTTTTTTTAAAAAACGCGCGTGAAACTTTATCTTTAGGCAATTACTCTTACCGAGTATAACAAGTACCTTGACGATCAGTATGGCAACAAATTCGAGGTTTTTGTTTTAGTTTTGATTAATTTCTTACAAAAGATTTTAGCAAAAAGTGAAACCTGGTAATGCTTCTATCGCTATTAAATCTTCAAACAGCTCAATCGTTAAAGCTGGTAGTTTTTAATCTTGAAGATTGTTCAATGTATATGGTCTTTAGTTCATAAAGCAGCCTCGCCGCCAGGAGATGAAGGTGCGCCACCAGAAAAGAATGCAAAAGTTGGATCTTCCGTATGACGAGTTTATATTCTAACTTATTTTTGTCATTGTTAGGCTGAAATTCCTATTTTGAATACCGAAAAGATGGAACCAATAACTGAACATGACGACGAGAGCATGCAGCTTGGAGAAGTAAGGTTAATCAGAGTACAGTTTATTTTGGATTTAGACAACCACTGACTGTGATGAGCAGGATGCCAATCGTATCGACGGACAACGTGGGCTTGTTAGAAAGGCTCATCGTCCAAGAATGAAGAGAGCGTGGGCTTTATGCAAATAAAAAAAATGATTTATGTTTAGACGAGTTAAACGTATGCGCAAAAACCAAGCATCAGCGCAAACAAACAAAACTACATCAAGACAGGCAAAGGAACTTTTCGGAGATGAATTCATTGGAGAGGTACATTCTTTGAGTTTTTTTTTCACATTGATGCTTAGGTGCTTCGAACGCAGACTACTGTTGATGTGGAGTGGATGGATGGAACAATTTCTTACGATTTGCCTGGATACATGCTTGTGCCGGTTGATCCAGATCTTGATCAACAAGATCATTTACCGGGAGTTCTCGTTGCAAGAAAAGATGGAAATACAAGTAGTCTGAGTAAAATGTGATCAGTATTCAAGTTGTTTTAGGGGATGAACTCGGCTTAATTCTTCAAACCGATCAACGGGAAAGGTGTGCCCTAGTTCGATGGTTGGAAATTGCTGGCGATGCAGTTCCCGTTGATAAAGGAGAAGAACAATGTACGCTTTTTGACATCATGCCGCATCCTATGTATCAGAGGTAACGTGTTCGAGTTGAGCTTTTAAAACAAAAATTTAGAATGATGGTTGGAGCAATTGGTGTAGAAATCGGAAAAGAACCTCAGAAATTGAGCGACGTCGTCTTCCAAGTGAAATCACATTTGAAAAGTGGACAATCTGAGGTCGAGTATTACAACGGAACACGGGCTACCCTATGGCCAACTGAAATGGCTCTGTAAGTACACGTGTAACGGAGTAAAATGTTGAATCTCTGTTTTAGTCTTTTCGTCCCTGAAGATGATGACACGACGCAAAGTTCCGACGAAGAAACCGATAACGACGAATCATGGACTAATTGGTCAATTCAACAAGAAGAGGATCTTACTGTCGATCAGCCATCAACTAGCTCTGCCAACGTTACTTTTTCTAACTTCATTGCGGTAGTTTCTTTAACTTAGGCAATTATTTTTTTTGCTTTAGAGAGGGGCCAAACTGTTGTTTGGTAAAGAGAGTTTCTTCAAATATGTTCTATCTGGACCAAAGTTAAACTACTCGGATAGATACATTCAAGAACTTATTAGCCAAGGAAAAAATCCGACTACTAAAGAAGTTGCTGAGAGGGCAAGGTAAGTTATTAATGAATAAAATGTTTATAAATTTTTTAGGTTATCAAGTATGGTTAACCCTAAAAGCGATGAAGTGGTCCTTGTACAAAGTATGGAAGAAATCACTGAGGTGTGTTTTTATTTTGAAGAATCTGATATCCTCTTAATCAGGCGAACCCTCAAGCAAGGCAAATTGAACAATACATTGTTGGCACAGAAGCAGTTTTGTCAAAATCAACAACTCTGGACCTCAGCCCAGTATTTGAACTTTTATAAAACGTTTGGCTAACTGCTTTAGGAGTTCTTTGGAAAAATAATCCGATCACCACCAAGTACGAGGCGAGAAGGTTTATTGTAAGTTTTTCTACAAATATAATGTCTAATAAAAATGAACAATCGAAAACAAAGAGATGGAAAAATTTACGAAGATTTTTTGTAGTCAAATGGATAAGACGGTCCCAAATCTCGAAGGCATTTACGGTGTGCATCGATCAATGCCTTGCATGAGTCCTCTGGGCCATCTCCGTAGAGGCAATCTTCAAGAGCCTAAATGCAAAATGATAAAGACAAAGACGATAAATAACATGACATAGAGTCTTATGCTACGATCTTAAGTTATAGAATAACATTGGCATCATAACAATGAAAATCTATAGATCTATAGACTTACGCGTCGGGTGAGCTGACACGGATCAGCAACTGGACGGTTGCCGCTGTAGGGGTAGTGAGTTTTCGGCTCCGACTAAAAACTTAGAAACAATACGAGCAAAAGCGGTCAATAAACAAATTAAATAGTATGAAATAGTAGATCAGATCAGATTAGGTCACTTACCTTGCCGTCTTCCTTCGAGTTTCCGGATCCCATTTTCTTTAGTCGATAATTTATAGAGGCAATAGCGAATATTGAACAGCTGAAATTGATTTTACTCAACTGACTATTTCTAGTGTTTGGGAGGGAGCGAAGTGCATGGGGGAGGAGTTGTTTTTGTGTTTTTGCTTGCTGCACATGAAAAGGGCATTTCTCTCTTCCCTCTAGCCGGAGAGAAAGCATAAACAACTCGGGGCGTAGAGGCGCAAAAGAAAAAGGCCCTCTTTCTTTTGGATCAGCGAAGATCCAGACAACAAGTTTTTTTATCTTTGTTGATGAGATTTTAAAAGCAGCGAAATATTGACGTTCTCTTTTCACAAGATAGTTGGTTAACACTTGAGCCGCGTGCACTTTTTGGCGATCATTAAGATTTAACCGAAACATGGGTGAGCGTATACATAGTTTTAATATTGATATTCCAATTAATGTTGAGTTATTCAGGGCTCACTATGAATCTGCGGACGTGGATGCCATTCTTGCGATGATTGACGTTGTTCCACATTTGAATGAATCTTGCCTGAAAAAAGATTACTTTTACAAGTCGGTTAAGATTACCCTTTTAACCTATAGCTCTTTTAGGTGGTTGTGTGTTGTGTTGCATGCAGAGAGTGCCATCCAGAGAGAATATATGGACGAACTTTGCGCGAAACTGGATTTGGCAAAAGAAGAGTTGCAAAAGCTTGAACAAACTTCTGATAGGAATGCTGGAGTAAGTGACATATGAATGTCGCAGGATATTGTGTGGATTTTTTAGGGGTTGGAGAGTAACGAATCAACATCATCAGAATTACCAACGGATAACAGCAAAAAAGGCACAATTTTGGTAATGCTATTTGTATCATGTAATAGTTTTGTTTGTTCAGACTTTGCCTGCATGTTCTTCACACAATTGGAAAGCTTTCGAAATGAATGCTCCAGGAAAGGTAGGTAACATAAAGTGTCTTGAATAGCATAAACTTTGAGGTGTGGATGCGACGAATTATTAGCGAACTGAATACACTCCGCGAACATTTGCCAGAGGGAATTCATGTGATAATTTACGAAGATCGGTATGAATAGTTTTTGCAGCTGTCCGTAAGTGGGTTTTAGGGTCGATTTACTCTCAACAGTCATTGTGGGACCTCGGGGCACTCCATACGAAGCCACTCCATTCTATTTTGATATTCGCTTCAAGTCCGATTATCCAACTGGACCACCAGAGGTGATAAATTCTTTTGGCAATTTATCGAGTTAAACGTTAATTTTTAGGTTCATTATCATGCTTTTTCACAAGAACAGCTGAATCCAAATTTGTATCAAAATGGTCGAGTTTGCACGAGTCTTCTTGGAACGGTTAGTTGTATGCTAATTTTATGTCATAACTTTTGAACTTTTAGTGGCAAGGCAAGGGCGTTGAAACCTGGAACTCGGTTTCCTCTAATTTGTTGCAAGTACTCCTATCGATTCAAGGTAAAATTTCAAGACTAGAGTTCAAATAGCGCTTTTAGCATTGATTCTCGTTCCTGAACCATTTTTCAATGAAGCTGGATATGAGAGTAGAAAGAACACCCCGGGAATGAACGAGAACTCTCAAAGGTAATTATTATTTATGCGTTTACTTTATGGAATTTTATAGATACAACGAGACCGCAATGATCAACTCGTTGCAATATCTCGAGTCAATTGCCAGGCATCCACCTGGAGGATCAATGCCTATCGTGATGGACGAATTGAAAAAGCAATGGCCAATGTATGTTTAGGATAGTTAGACTCTTTTAAACCTGGTTTTAGATTGAAAGCAGAAATTTCTTCATGGTTGGAGGAACGTACGACTCCGGATTTTCCAGTACAAATGAGCAAAGGCTTTAGAATATCACTTGAGCGAATGATCACGCGCATATCCGCATTGAATCTTTAATAATCGGTTAATTTTGATTTCATATGAATACGGTTTTATTCCCGGATGATATATTTGTGATTGCTAGATAAGATAATTTTGATAAATGTTTTTCTTCATTTTGACAAGCGGAAGTGACTTCGGTATTATTTATTCGACTATAACACAAACTAAATAGACAAACAACTAAAAACAGTAACAATTCACGAGCAAAGTCATTTTAATCAGATGATTCTCCTCCTAATTCGAAACGAACGAAGTCTTTGATTGATGCGTTGTGCCCCGTGACGTATCTAGAATGAGAAACGAATCAAGTCAGACAAAAATAAACTTACTCATAAACAGTTTGCGATGGATTTAACATGAAAGACTGCCGGAGTAATCGTGTTTCATCGGCATCCATTTGAGTTGTCTTACACGTTTCAGTTATTTTCTCTTTTAAAAAAAATTTTAAAACCTGTCCTTGAAAGAATTCATTCAGTTCATCTTGACCGTCGGCATTCTTTGCTGTTTCGGTTTGTTTCTTGGATTCGTTTGGATCGACTGGAGTGCCCAATGATTCGCTAAAAGCCGCGACGTTTTTGATATTTTTGTCATTATAAAAGCACCTTCTCATTCCAATAATATGCTGGCATAGTTGATCGGCTAGACGTTCGGTGGGAAATTGTCCTTCTATCTAAAAACCTGCTGAATATCACAAAAACGGTGGAAGAAAAAACCTTTTTCCTGTTCATAGCCAATAGAGAAACAAATCGGCCCATTGGGACATCTTGGAGGCCGTCTAAAATTTTATAAACTATTTTAGACTCTTAGAAACAAAATCGGCCGCCTTTATCTATAAATTTCCCATACTAACCTTTCGGATGTGAACCATTATAAAACTCAGAATCTTGTGGTGCGTAAAAGGCTTTTATTCGCTTGGCAGAGATGTTTTCTCCCAATTTTCCGACACCCATTGCAATGACTTCCTAAAGGAATACTAAAATGCTCCAAAAAACAAAAAAGAACCCTCAAGGATTTTCCATCAGCGGTTTTCACTGAGTCGACATCTAGGAAACGATAAACTATTCGACTTTACTAATTAAACTAACCAAGGGTCTGAGTAGAAATTTTGTCCGAGTGCTGTGCTGGCACGCTTTTTGCGTGTTCAAGAGTGGCTGTAACAAGCGAAGCTAACTAAAGTTGAAAAATAAGAAGGGAAATTTTCAAAACGATTACCAATTGTTTGAAAGGCTCTCCTCGAGCGACAAAGTCCGTTTCACAACTTAATTCGACAATTGCAGCTACCTAAATAACAAAAATACTCAATCAAAAGAAAGTAACATTTACCTTTCCAGCTGTTTTCACTGACACAAGCCCTTGAGATGTTTGTCGACTTGAAAGTCTGAAAGAAGTCACTAATAAAGCTCAAATGTCAAAAAACCCTACTTGGCAGCTTTAGCCCAACCTTCCTTTTCCGCGTTTTGTCGTAACCATTTTTCCGCAGCACTCAAATCAGTTCCTAAACTAAATATAACATCAATTTTCCCCAAATACCAACCAAATTGAAGCAAAGCCTTTCTGCAATTCACGTAACTGTATCCTGTTTTGCGGCGAAGTTTCATTAGAGACTAAATATAAGTGTTTAAAAAAGAAATGAAAAACCCACATCTTTATCAACTTTTTCGCTTTGAGCTGCCACTGCCGGTTGGGCTGTGGAAAGACCTGAAACAATTTTACAAAGGTCAAAATGTTAAAGATTACCCCGAATCACGGCCCGAGAAAGAAACGATGCCCGCAACATCGAAATTTGTTACCTGAAAATTACTAATCAATAACAATGCAAAAATAACAAAATTTGAAACGAAAACAAGAAACCCGTTATATCACATTAACAAGTAAATCTAAAAGGGGAAATTATTCTTTCCATCGATGTTTGCATTGATGATTCGCGCAACGGTAGAAAATTGTCATCGGTTCGTCGGCGCTACGAGTCTAAATTAAAAGAAATTATTAGGTATGGACATTTTAACACAAAACTATAACTTAATACTTTTTAAACGATACCTGTAGCTGCATAAAATAGGCACGCTCGTGTGAGCACTTTGGACATCTCTCCTCGGTCGATTGTGCGTTTTCCCAAGCTTGTGTGTCGCTCAAAATATCGCCCAACTCCTTCATCTTCGGATAGATTTTACTGCCAACCTAAATAAAACAAAATTAGTTACGTTTCAAGTGAGTCTACTTTTAAAAACACCAGATTTACCTTTTGAGTGATTGGTGCAACGTAGGGGCAAGTTGGACATGAGAGTTGCATATTCGTCCTTCCCTCCTCGATCTCCAGCAACAGCCCGCACGATGGGCAAAAGGTCAACATACCTGGAAAAAGAAAAATTAAGCACATTTAAGCATGAATAAACAAAGGATATTTTAAACGTGTTGCAATTGTTCTCTTTGGGAGGCTGGTCCTATTTTAGCTCCTGAAAAACGCGGGAATACCAAAAACACTCTGTATTATGGGGAGAAAACCACGATCGGAACCCTATGGCGCTTTTCGAGTTCGAAATCAACTAACGTAAACTTTTTGGAACAAGTAATTCTCTCTTTAAATAACGCTTTTTTTTCTTTTTCCGCCACCATTTTTGATATTCAGTTATACATCTGAGCGATGGAACATCTGCCATTGCGATAAAAGTTATTCAATTAACTGACTTAGAATTGTCAATAATTTTGCCTTGAAAATTTCCCGAATTCATTCATTCGGTAATCTTTTTCATCTCTTTTATTTCCCCATTAAACCCAATTACATTTGTTTTTTTTCTGCTATTGTTCTTTTAAACATGAACTAGTGAATCAAATTCTTTATTCTTCAGATGGCCGACCCGGACGATCTTTTCGGAGGATTGTCAGAAAGCAGCAGCGAGGAAAGCGAAGATGAAGTTGAAGACATTCGCTTGTCCACCTCTCCCTTTGGGCCCGAACGCCACCACGGCGACGTCCATGTCCGATGATCGGGTCCAATTTCAACTAGGCAGCTCCCCGGAAACAGGGTCGAACCTTGATGATGGCGATTCCCTACTGGAGCCGAAGGAAACGAGAAAGCGGAAAGCGTCACCGATAAACACTGAACAAAAACGCGCAAAGATCACCAACGTTGGCACTTCGTCCGACTTTCATGCGGCTCTGACGATGTTGGATGATCCTGATGATCAATGCGCCCGAGAGCCAATTATTTACATCGATCCAGCAGCCCTTTCACTTGCGCCTACCGATGAACCATCCGAGTTTTCACAGCATGCACTCGAAAAAGACGCGGCTGACTTGGATGGAAAGCCCACCACAGATGATGCACCCTTTGCGAATATCAGCATGGATAAAGAAATGAAAGCGATTGCGCCATCAACATCAAAAATTGTTACTCCAGAAAAAGAGGAAATCATTCTCCCATTGCGGGAACTCGATGAAGAGGATGAAAAGCAGCGGTTAAAGATGCAGGTATTGATTTCAAACTTTTCTCAAGAGCAGCTCAACCGATATGAGGCTTACCGACGATCGACGTTTCCAAAAAGTGCAATTAGAAGGCTAATTCAACAATATACGGGTGTAAGTCCCGGGCAGCAGGTTGTGATTGCGATCGCTGGACTTGCAAAAGTTTTCGCCGGTGAGTTGATAGAAGAAGCTCTTGATTGCCAGAAAGCTGCCGAACAAACGTCCGAACCATTGAAGCCACACCATATCCGCCAGGCCTACTACAGTCTTGATCGAAAAGGAAAATTGTACCCGCCAAAGGGGAGCCGAAAGAATCCCCTATTTTGATGTTTTTTCTTGTTTTATTTTTCACATTTTTACATCGTTGAACTTAATTTATAAATTTCAGGTAAATTTTAAGATGACGGACGTCGATACGTCAGATATCTCTAAGGAAATTGAGCGCAGGTTTGAATTTGGTTGTGGTTTTGTTTACAATCTGTTATAGACAGGGACGTCTCCGCGAGATTGACAATTCATTGGCTCAATATGGGAATCGGCCTGGCTTGTAAGTTCCGAAAAAACTTTATCCTTTAAAACCATCTACATCAATCTACACACTAGGAATAAACTATTACTTGAGTCAACCAAACTTTTAGTGGCAATCAACTTGGACAAAAGCGTCGCAACACCGAAGAGGGACTGCCACCAAGGTATTTAGTTTTTAAAGTGCATATGTTTTTCATTTAACATTTCAATGTTTTTAATTTAGGCGCTTGTCGGAACGCAATGACAGCTCTGGTGGTTTTCAAAGACGACGGACAATTGAGTAAGTTGTTTTATTTTAAAATTAAAATATTTTGCTTTTAGAGCTAAGCGAGGCCGGTTTGAGGATGTCGAGGACGACGACTTCACTGACGAGGAGGAGGATTACGATGAACGCCCCAAGCGATCCCTGCTCTCTACTGTAAGTCTTAAAAATTTTTTTAATACGTTCTGTTTTTAGGTATCATTGCCTGCTATTGAGACGAAGAGCCGTGAGGAAAAGTTGAAAGAGTTGGACTCAAAGACGCAGAAAGATGTGAAACAAAGGTTTGTTGTCATGTTAGTATTACAATGTTTTCTCTGTTTAGAAACAAGCGTATGTTTGCTAACTTGCTTATGGGCACTCTACAACGTTTCCAAAAGGATGAGAAGAAGATTCAAAATGTGGAACGGGTTCAGGTAATATAAACGACGATAAAGCTAAAAAATACTTTTGATTTAGGCTGAAAAACAACGTGCTGTTGATCAAAAACTTGAGGAAGAAAAGACAGCTCAGATTGAGAAGGTTGCAGAAGGATCAAAGCTTATAAAAACATTATATTTTAGTCAAGGGTCGAACGCGCAGATCTTTTATCCAAGCGACGAGACGAGGAACGGGAGATTCGCGCTTTGACTCGTCGTAAAGCTTTGATTCAATATGTAAGCCCTCGAGTTTCCTATTTATTTAATTAAAATTTAGTCTGAGCAAAAGATCAACCACTACAAGCAGCTGCAGCACTTTATTGGAGTAAGCTGATATTTCTTTTTCTTAAATTATTTCCTTTTAGACCCAAACCAAGCCAACAATCTTCTATCTGCCAAATAAGCATACTCTGCGCAGTCTGGAGCTCCAGAAGCAAAGCTCTGAAACAATAGATGGTGGGTGATTTAAATATGAACTGGTGTAATTTCAATTTTCAGCTCTGATCAAGTTGCGTCAGGAACAACTCGCCACCGATCTTGAAGCTGATCCAGAGGCTAAGCGTGAAGAAGTAAGTCTTTTAGAGCACTTGAAGCACAATTAGCAAGTTTATCCACTAATATTGTGTTGTTTTAGCGTCGGGAGGCTTATCGTAGTAACCAATCAAACAACGGAGCTGAAAAGCGTGTGGAGAAGGAAACCCGCGAACGTGAGAGATCACGGTATTGCTTTAAAGCTTTTATCATTGACAATCGATTTTTAGATCCAATTCACCCAGTGGCTCTGAGTCTGAAGCAGACCATGAAAATGGTGGAGAGCAGGAGAAAGAGGGAGAAAAGGCGACTGAAGAGGACAAAGCCGTCAAGGCCGAAGAAGAAGAGATGGACGATGATGAAGGAGGACAAGCAGATGATGATGATCACATCGAATAAAACCATTCTCGCTTAAAAAAAATTTTTAGGTTAGTTCTTCACTTTGATTTTGTAAATAAGCAACACAGATACACAATTGAAATGTGTAGTACTATTAAGCTTGATCTTCGAAAACAGCCTTTAAAGGTGCTCGTATAAATTTATATTTAGGTCATCATCGTGTACAACTACTCTCAAAGTCAGGTAAGTTCCAAGGTTTGCAAAAGTTGATCAAGCAAACACGTGAGAAAGCCACAAGTAAATCTTTTTCATGTTTCTTTTCAATTAACTCCTCGTAAATTAAGGTATTTTGGTAGTTTTGCTCTTGTTAAGTCTCTAAATTTCACGTCTGGGCTTAATGCTTTCTTGTTGTTATCATCGGGCCGAAAAATTGTTATTCCCCTTTTGATCGTCATTATTTAATCCCACTCGATCGATATTTAAATCCCACTGTTTTGCAAAATTTCAATTGTTCTTCTTTCAATAAATATTTATAAAAATCCAATAAACTTTTTTGCAAAAGATCACCAGTATTCGGAGAAATCAAAGAAAATAAGAATAAATATGTAATAATTTTTGACTAGAGTGTAGAGATTCATCTTTTTTGAACTTTTAGAGACATTTAGAGAGGAGAGAAAAAAGAGAGACACATCGAATCATCAGAGAGAAACAATATATTGGTCTATTCGAAATAAGGCTTCAAAACGATCACTTTAGTTCGATACAAAGAGATTGGGATATTGAGGGGAAAGGGTCAAAAAAGAAACGGAGAATTTCTAGAAGAACTATAGCATCAGACATGTACATGCGTGAGTAATGAGTGAAAGAGTTTTGTAGTGAGAATGACAAGACTTTTAAATGAAAGTATGTGGTGGTGTTGTGTTGTTTGAACTTTGTACGAGCGGTATGTTAGCGCCATCGTTTTTCAAGTGGCTTGAGTGGGAATGGCCGGAGATTCGCTTTGGGTGTGAGGGTGGTTGGGGCACTGGGGCGGGTCGTTGTGGTTGTTGTTTTACCTGAATGAATGAGATTAACTAAAGGAAGAGGAGGAACATTGCGAGATTTAGAGACTAGTAAAGTTACGGTTTTATTCATTTTAACCCCGCATAACACTTTCATTTCTATTTAGTGATCTGAGAAGTATGCTACGCTTTGGGAAAAGTTATCTGAGTGTCTCTGATCTTTATTTTGAGTTTGGCGAAGATGCTAGGCTCCGGGAAAAGTTATCTAAGTGTCTCTGATCTTTATTTTGGCTTGGCGATGATGCTATGCTCCGGGAAAAGTTATCTGAGTGTCTCTGATCTTGATTTTGAGTTTGGCGACATCCTTGATCTTTCCGGTAAAACGTCCATAGTTTTCCGGACTTCGGAAAGGACTTTGTCGGAAAGTTCCTCCGAAATTTCCTCGGAAAGTTTTACCGGAAACTTTCTGGAAGAAAGGTACTTTCCGCGGGAAAACTATAAACGTTTTATCGGAAGGATCAAAGGTGTCGCCGTAAAGATTAGAGACACTCAGATAACTTTTCCCAGAGCCTAGCATACGGGCTCTTAACAATGCCTAGGAGTACCCTGAGGACTGCTTCTTTGAATAGACAAGCTTCTATTCTTCTATTCTACAACAGGCTTGTTAAATCAAAAGTCTGGAACAAAGCAATCTTCATTCACTACCTGCTCAGCGCTCAAAACGCCTCTCCTCTTCTTTGGCATCTTTGCACGAGCTTGTGTATGTGAATAGTACATAGCGAAGTTGGAAACGATCACCTGAAAGTGTTTAGCTGAAAAAATGATCCATTTCTTGAAAAGAAAAGACTCTCTGGATAGCCTAAAAGCCTAGAAATCGCTAGCAAATTGATCTTTCCACTTACAGGAACGGGGAGAGCAATGGTGAGTACACCGGCCAGCGCACAAACAGAGCCGATCAATCGACCGAGATAGGTGTTTGGCGTGATGTCGCCGTAACCAATTGTGGTCATTGTGACGATCTAGAAATCGATCGAGAGTTGAAGTTGATCAGATTGAAAGTTTGAAAGTTGATAGTTGATCAACTTTTTAGATATGATAAAGCTTTTAGCTTTATTATTATAGTTTTCAACTCACCGCCCACCACAAACCGATCGGAATGCTTTGGAATTGATTGTCTGGATTCACTTCAACACCTCTGAATTTGGTTTTTGTAAATGTTTTGGGTTTTTTTCTTAATCCAAACCTTTCAGCATAATAGACTAATGAAGCGAAAACGACGATGCCGAGAACAAGGAAAAACACTAATAAGCCGAGCTCTTTCGCGGAGGCTCTGGAATGAGATTTAAGAGATTGTAATTTTAAGTGTATATCGGCTGTAATATTGGCTAGCTAACGGCTAGCTAACACAGTTTCGGCCAAATCAACGCCAAATACACAGAATCCCCTATCACGCAAATACCCCGAAAGATTTGTAGAATTTGTAGATTTGGTTCCTTTTCTCTACAAATTTGGTTCCTTTTCTCCAAAGATTTGGTTCCTCTTCTCTACAAATTTGGTTCTAAAACCCATTTAAAGAGCCGATCTAGCCGCTGGGATCGAACCCGTAACCTCACGACCAGGAAACAAGACTCCTTAGCCGCTCGGCCATGGCGGCATGAAGAGAATGCAAAATTCAACCTTCAAAAGCATCTAGTTCCCCGCTGTGCACTCCAGGATGACACTAGAATTTCAGGATTTATCAAAATCTTAATATCAACGACCGTTTTGATCGAGTTCAATTTTTCGGCGTTTATTCGAGGGATTTTGGATTCGATTCGATTCTCAAAATCAAGAAGATTCAGGCGAAAATCACGATTTTCACCATTACACCGTTTTGTGGGAGAAATTTGAGATTTGCCCTTGATTTCCAGCATTTTAAAGTCGATTCCGGAAATTTTCACATTTTTGGCGCTTGTTTTTTTGCTTGTCTGATATGCGCATTTTGTCATTCTTGTCATTTCAAAAGTTCGCATTATATGAACAACGTTTAATGAATAAATAGGTAGATGGAGCGAAAGAGAAAAAGAACAAAAGAATAAATTTCTGTACACCAATCGCAATTCTATCAATTAACACAGCGTTTTGACCTGAAGAAAGAAAGAAGAAAAAAACCTTTGAAAAGGCTTCAGTACATTCAGTACAACAAAATACGTATGGGGGGAAAGGTTTGAAATAATAAAATAGACCTGTTTTTGTGGGGGGGATTTGAATTGAATTGATATTGATCCTTATTGATCCTTATTGATCCTTATTGATCCTTATTGATAGTAGAGCTCAAAATTGAAACCCTCATGTATCTCGTAGTCTTGTAGAGTGATGTGATCCTTGTAAATCGTGTACCATTTCTTTAAAACGATCTTGTCCCATCTGAAAACAAAAAGGAAAATGATTGACGAAATGATAACGATAATGATAAAGAATCGTTGAAAAACTCGATTTTACTATCGAATTTGATCTTTTTGATCTTTTCAATCATTCAGAACCAATTCTGTTGATTTTTCAATTTTCATCTCTCTAATCTACTTTATACTTTGAACTACTAGAGCAAAACCTTGACTACATTCGTTTATCGTTTAAAGTTATCGTTATCGTTAAGGTTATCGTTTAAAAGGTTTCCATGTTGCTTCTGAAAGTTTCCTAAGCTCATAGAGTAGTCAACTCCAGCTCCAGCTCGAACTCCAGCTCCAGCTCGAACTCCAGCTCCAAGCTCGAACTCCAGCTTCAGCTCGAACTCCAGCTTCAGCTCGAACTCCAGCTCCAAGCTCGAACTCCAGCTTCAGCTCGAACTTCAGCTCGAACTCCAGCTATTCCCCAGTCAAAATCACACCCACCTTGTACCCGTTTGTAAAGCGATCAACTTTTTCAAGTCCCCAATCGTGTCATTCGGATTGCACTTGATTCGAACCTGAAAAGCAAAAAAAATAAAAATCATGAAATAGCTGCAGTTTTTGTTGGCTCAATATCAAGATCACTTTAATTTCCAAAAGCATTGCCCGGTATTGTTTTTGCGTTCAACAAAAGACATAAAGGAACTCATTTATATTGAGTTGACCGATAAGTAATGAGTCATTTTCAATCAGCAATATTTATTCCTTAAAGCCATCTAAGTCAATCAAAATAGTTTCCATTTTTTTTTCAATAAACTATTTCCATTTTACTGGTAGAAGGCGAATTCCTGTCGCGTAAAAAAAAATCAGATTTTGAGTCAATACTAGTTCTGTATCTATTTTTTGGTATCTTTTTTCATCTATTGATCGACTAGGGACTTTTCCATTGACCGAAATAAATTGTACTCTGATGGAGTTAGATCTGGGGAGTATGCTGGATAGGGTAGAAGTTCCCAGTCAAGGCTCTTGCTTGTACAACGAGTCAGTTTAGCAATGTGTAGACGAGGATTTTCATGCTTTAATATGATCTTTTTGTCTCAAGAGTTTTAGCTAAATTCTACAATTGATTATTATATAGTTGAGAGTCTTTGCTTGCCATAATAAATCTGAAAAAGGCCATATTGAAGCATGACAATCCTCGCCTAAAATCCTGCTAAACTGGGCTGGGAATCTCTAGCACCAGCAAGATCCCATACACCAGCCATCCATCAGCAAAGATCCCACTAAACTGTGAGCATAAACTTCTTTTGATGAGTCTCAGGCTTGGGTTCAGGAGAAGCTTTTTCTCCGGGTCCAACCCATTGCGTTTTCTTCCGAAATTTTATGGAAGTTAACATCATCTCCTGTTAAAGTTAACATCATCATCTCCATCTCCGATTTTTTTTACGTGACAGGAATTCGCCTTCTAATAGTAAAATGGAAATAGTTTATTGAAAAAAAATGGAAACTATTTTCATTGATTTAGATGGTTAATTTTTATTGATGGGGCAATAAGAAATGAGTCATGTAAAAGAAAGGAAATTTTACCGTTGCTTTTAGTTGACTTTTAGTTGTGTTTACCACTACTAAAAGAGACATCAGACTTTCCTTATTTCAAAAAATTGATTAGGCGCTGCTTTCTTAGATACTTTAGATTTCTTAGATACTAATAGATCAACAATTGTGATTACAGTCCTTCTAAATGTCCATATATTTAGCATACCCGTATTTTCTCTAATAGTAGTGCACCGCGGGCGAGAGCCGAGTTGGTATTTTACGGTTTTAAAGCTTTTGCACAAGCTCAACACTCTAAACCCTCTACAAGATCTCATCGTCAGCTACATTTTTGATATCGATAGGTTATGTTAAGCGATAGGTTCTGTTAAACGATAGGTTCTGATACATCGATAGGTTCTGATAAGCGATAGGTTCTGTTAAGCGATAGGTTCTGTTAAGCGATAGGTTCTGTTAAGCGATAGGTTCTGATACATCGATAGGTTCTGATAAGCGATAGGTTCTGTTAAGCGATAGGTTCTGTTAAGCGATAGGTTCTGATACATCGATAGGTTCTGATAAGCGATAGGTTCTGTTAAGCGATAGGTTCTGTTAAGCGATAGGTTCTGTTAAGCGATAGGTTCTGTTAGGCGATAGGTTCTGTTAGGCGCTAGGTTCTGTTAAGCGATAGGTTCGGTTAATCGATAGGTTCTGTTAAGCGATAGGTTCTGTTAAACGATAGGTTCTGATAAGCGATAGGTTCTGATAAGCGATAGGTTCTGATAAGCGCTTTTCGAGATTTCGAGCAATTTAGGCGACGCCCAGGGTGCACTGCTATTAGAGAAAATCGAAAATCAAAAATATAATTGTATTCATTAAATTCTCAAAAACCGATTCACCTTTTTCCCGAGTCGATCGTTGACGGTGATCTCGATCATTTCGTCCACTCGATAGAGAGAAAAGTAGAGAGAAGAGGAGGTTCTGAAAGTAAAAATATGTTAATTTTTACAAACAAAAACAAAAAAACAAGATTCATAAAAGGAAATCTATGAGAAATCACTAAAAATCCCTAAAAAACCCAAAGTTATGCAATTTTTTTTCGAAATCTCACCTAACAGCGGGGATTTTACAAAGAAAAACGGCTACATTCGACTCCTTTGGACACCAAAACCAAAAGAAAAACGTCAAAGAACGTGAAAATGAGTCACTTTACTCAAAAAAAAAACATGTTCTTGAGTAATTTTATGTAATTTCCTTTTTTTTAAGATGGCTTAAGATGGCTTAAAACAGCTAAAACAGCTTAAAACAAGCTATTTTTCTAGCTTAAAACAATATTTTTAACACTTTTAAAAAGCTTCAATTTTCAATTTTCCACACAAAAAACAACGAGATTTCGGCTTAAAAACAACCAAATTTCGACTTTCTGCTCGATTTTTGGTTTCAAAACGAAAATCGAACAGTTTTACGACAAAATTCATCTAATCCAACACTTTCAAAGCTTTTCAAAGCTTCTTTGCCAAATTTCCCAAAAAATTCCATTTCAAAACCCTCAAAGTACTCAAAAATCGCTCAAAAACCATCAAGCAAACGGTTAAAATTTGCGTTTTTTTTTTCAAATCTTTATTATTCTAAATACACTCGATTTACACGATAAAAAAAAGAGAATAGAATAAAATTTTGGAAAGAGAAAAAGGAAAAAAAAAACGAGAAACTCGCTGAAATTACCACTAAAATCTACAGCTATTTAGTTAAATTTCATAAAAAAAAAAAATTATCACAAAAATTGGTGGAGTTGACACCGATTTTTTTTTTCTTCGCGAAACTTACGGAATGTTCAAGAAAAATTCGCTCACAAACCAGGGAAATTTGAAGGGGAAAAAGAAAAGAAACTGAAGGCAATTGGGCTGACAAAAATTCAAAAATTTTTTTTTGGATTTTTGTATATTCATTTTGCCTAAAACTTTGTCATAACTTTTTGAGCTGAAAAAAGAGAGAAAATCTAATAGGAAAGATGGGATTTAAAGGAAAGAATTGAAAAAAATCGCCTTTTTTGGACTACCATAAACACAAGTGACGTCGTTCATCAGCGGTGGGAGAAGTGGCCTGAAAAAGAAAGGTTATCTTTGTTATCTTTTAAACATTAATAAGCTAAAGTTTAACGTGGGATTTAGATAAAGAAAAGGAAAAGGATAAAATGGTGTTTGTTTGTTTGTTGTTTGTTTGTTTGTTTGTTTTGTTTTTGTTAGCATTATCTCTATTGTTAGCATTATCTTAAGAGGTTGAGCTATTTTTGACAAAATTTGCTAACAATAAGCACTCTGCAAGGACCGTTACTGACTAATTAAACTTGATTTCAGGCTTCAAGGATGCACTTAATTGCTCCACTAAAATTTCCCACCCTCGTGTAGCGTTAAAAAGCAACTGTTGGTGATTTTTAGCCTTTGAATCAGTCTTGCTCCATCTGGATTCTAATAAAACTGTTGCCTTGATCCATTTTTTGTTTTGACTGACCTTAACAATGCTAAGATCATAGTTAAAGTAAATCTATAGTTAAGCGTTGAGTGAGATATTCTTAATTGCTCCTCTTTAACCAAAAAAAAATCTTTCAAAATTAAAAACCAAGTTAAAAAGTTGATGATTTTTGGTTCCAGCTTTTTTAAAATCACAAAGATTTATATGCATTTTGATTCAATTTATTTTTAAAAAATCGTTCAAAATTGCCCACCTTTTACGAGAATTGTCCGTGGAGTTTCTTCTGGAGACGAAGATTGTGATGCAATTCGGGCTTGATATCGCACACCAACTGCAACAGACGAACGATCACCTGGAAAAAGGGAAAGATTCAAAAAAATAGCCGTAAATAAACGCAGAAGCCATCATAGCTCATTTTGAAAATAGTCTTCTTTTAAGTTTTAAAACACCACAAAACACACCTGCTGCTTGTTTTGAGCCACCGTGCGCTTCATGTTGTCGATCTCGGCCTGGAATGAGAAAGATGATTCAAGCAAATAGAG